TCTGTGGTCTCCCTGTGTCCCTCTTTCACTGACATTTGATGCTATCTCAATTCCTTACTGGCATCTGCAGCTCCGGCACTGGGTCCTTTTCTCCAGTGATTCAATTTTCCTGCAAAATGATGCAAAAGGTCTTAGTGAGAGCTTTTTGGTTCCATCAGAGCTGGTTGAGCTGTGAGGTGGGCTGTGCTTCTCCATCCTTTCTGCTGATGGGGTAATTCTGACTGACGCAGCTGTTCCCAAACCTGCGCTCCCCAGAGCGCCCTGCTCCAGACAGCCGCCTGCTCGCCCTTGAAGCTGAATGGGTAACTGCTGCTGTAATCCCTCTTTCCCTTAGGTACTCTTTGCTTTGCATTCATGCTTTTCCTGCTCTTGGCATGGAGCTGGTAGGACTGTGGTTTTGGGTGAGAGACCACGTGGCTTTGGGAAGCTTTGCAGGCAGCCTGCAGACCCTCCAGCTACATCCCGTGGCAAAACCTCTGGTTGTACCCTATCGCCTGCCCTCAGCCCATGTGGCCGAGCTCTGGGTGCCACCACAGGGATGTGGCACCCGTGGTGACATGCGCTGCAAAGGCAGTGTCACAGCTATCAGTGCAGGTCAGCCGCCGGGATTTGTCGCTGTTGTGGGCGTTGATTTAGATTAAGTATCTTCTTGTTTTTTGCTTTATTATACTGATATAATTAAAGTTCCAATATTCTGTGGCTCACGGCAATGTAGGGCCTAGGACGTGAGCCTTTCCTGTATTAATCTTTATAAGTGGGTTGTACTGAATGGCAGCTCAGCTCACCCCTTGCCCTCAGTGTGTTATGAGTGCGGAAGCAGCATCTTGGCCCCGTGCTGCCTGCCGACATCTCCCCTAGCTATGCGTGCCCCTAGAATGCTGTGTCAGACCCCCAGAAATACTCAGCTGCAGTGTAGTGGCCACGGGGGGGGTCATGGGCACATTCCTGTGTGGGGCAGCTGCTGCCTACCCAGGCTGCATTGCTGGCATTTTTCTGCTGGGATGCGGCAGGAATGCATCTCCAGATCCCCTTCCCGCTGCCCATGTCCTTGCAGTTCAGTCCTCTTTGCCGCTGCTGCCCGGCGGTGCTGAGCCATCCCAGCAGTGATCTGCTTAGTACTCATCCTCACTTCGCTGGATGCAGAGCTTTGGTGACCTGAAACACAGTGTTCAGCACCACATCCTCATCTCGTCCCTGACCACTTGTCCCTGCTGCTGTCCCCAGCCAGCACCCCCCTATCCAAAAGCACTGTCCCCATTGACTGTGCCCCCCCTGAGGACAGCTGATGCTGCAACCTCACAGCTGCTGCTAGTCCTGCATTTTCGAGGTGTCTGAGCAGGGGTGGAAGGGGGAGAGGAGTGTTCCTCCCGGAGCAGCTGATGCAGGAACCTCATTTTGGAAACTGGAGAAGGGCATGCGGGCGGCAGCTGCCGTGCTGCTGCTCCCTGGGGCTGAGAGTGAGGGGAAGGTGTGTGAGGGTGCTGGGGGCCCAACTGCCTCGGGGTGAGCCCAGGCCACATGCACAGGGCTGGACATAGGATCCTCTGCTTCCTGCCCTGAGCAGGGCTGCGTGGTGTTGGGTGACGCTCCCCAGCAGCTGTCACCTCCACCCCAGGTTGGCTGGGGCCGAGGAGGTCCCCTTGGGGAGGTATTTCGTGTGACGCTGAGGTTCCTGCAGCATGGGGACCCCTGCCCCCCCCCCCCGTGTTTTGTCACCCTCCACTTGCAGCCCTGGGCTTTGCAGAGCTGTGGCACAGGGCTGTCCCTGCAGGTTTACCACTCGCTACATCCCCGGTGAGTACTGGGGGAGGGAGTGGGGGAGGCTTTGAAACGCGCTCCTGTAAATAAGCCCTCCTTTCTCCTTGCATGTCAGCGCTGCGCGAGCCCCGTGGAACTGGAAAGGGTCCCCGTGAAAAGGCTGCGGAGTGTGTTTGAGGCAGATAAGTCCCTGCCTTTGAAGTGTGGCAGGCGGGCGAAAGCGCCCTCCTCTCCTCGTTCCTGCCAGCCGCTGAGCATTAATCACAGCCGCGCGCAGATAAGAGCACAAAGCGTCGCCGAGCACTTCTTGTGCCAAGAGGAGGGGGCTGCCGGCAGCGGGCAGGGGGTGGGAGAGCCAGGTGTCCCCCTGCAGGGATGTGGGTGACTCCAGCTCCTCTCTTGGTCACTGTCTCTGTGCAGCTGTGCCGTGCAGTCTGCCTGGGCTGCTGCTGCTGCTTGTTAAATCCAAAGGCAGCCCTGGTATGTTGGCAGCCACTTTCCTCACCGGCTGTGCTCGCTCCCCACCCGCTGCGCCTGTGCCGGGGCTGAGCTGTACAGCGCCGGGCTGCGCTGGGCCGGGCTGCCCATGGCTGCTGCTGGGTCGTCTCATCTCTGCCTGCAAGGGGTAACGGCCTCTGGTTGACCCAGGAGAGGTTCAGGTTATCTATCAGGAAAAATACTTCTCAGAAAGAGCGGTGATGCACTGCCCAAGGAGGAGTGGAGTCATTACGTCCCTGGAGGTGTTCCAGAACCTTGGAGATGTGACTCTAAGGGATGTGGTAATGGGCATGGTGGGGGTGGGTTGGCATTGATGATCTTAGAGGTCTTTCCAACCTTAATGATTCTATGGTCTCACCACCTGTCTTGCCAAGCTGTGGGGCTGGGTAGCTTCTCAACCCCGAGCTCTGCACGTTGCCATTGCAGGTTCCTTGGAGTCATGTAGGTCAAGGGATGAGATGCATGGGCTGGGAGGAAGATGGTCTAGTTTTTGTGTGGTCCTGTGTGAGTCAGGAGTTGACTCAGTGGTCCTTATTGGTCCCTTCCAACTGGGGATATTCTACAAAGAAGAGTGCCTGGGAGCAAGTGAGAAAGAAAAGGGCATTTAAGCAAAATAAGTTTTGCCTCTGAGTGTTTTTTTTCTTATCCACAACTGAATTTCCAGCTGTATGCATGAACCAGCAACTTAATTTCTGTGGTGTCTTCCACCTATGGGTGCTGTGCTCCATTCATCATCGTCAGCCTCCCTGCCTGAAGCCTACATCGGGGGGCACGACTCACCCAGACTCAGGGATATAGCAATGGTTGGGATGGTACCTACTTGTAGAAGCACCCCAATGCCTCAGTGGGGCTGGAGAGACGCAGTGGCATCCTCCATTTCATTGCAGCCCCGTGACTCCTTCCAGCCCTATAGGAAGCAAAGCTCGAGCCTGAAGCAGCCAGCTCTGCTGCATGGAGACAGGTAGAGCAAGGGCAGGAATCCAGAGCGAGAAATTAGTGCGAGTAATTATTAGTATTGGGTAATTATATCAGCGTCAGGATGAGGAGAAAGGTTAATAGATTTTTTTTTTTTTTTTTTTTTTTTTTTTTTTTTTTGGTAAATGTCTTTTCCCCTGGGTGGAAGGGAAGCAGGGTGGGCAGGAAGGCACGTGCTTCCGAGGGGGCTGCTCTGATTAAAGCACATCCTCTCCCCCTGCCCCAGCCACCGCCGGCCCCGCAGGTGGGCACGTGCTGGGAGCGGCCCCATTCCGGTCAGCGATGCTGCTCATCTCATCCACTAGCTTTGGGAAACTGCCATCCTATGGCCCAAGCAGCCCACCCAGGTCTTCAAACCTCATTTTGCTGCCCCCCAGACCTGCAATTAGAATATCCTTAGCAGTGGGAGCGGTGCGCATCGCAGACCCCACTGGAGCGCTCCGGGTGCCGTCGCCTCTTTGCTTACAGTGATTATTTTTAGGTCCTTCCTGGAGCTTCAAATTAACTGGAAGTGCTTCACGTCTGTTGGTTTTTTTTTTTTTTTTGATACATCTCTTTCTCTTTCCCAGCACTGCGCAGTGCAATAATGTAATGGGGAAATTACCCCGCTAGTTAAAAATTACTGCCAGTGCGACATCCACCCGTAGATCTATTTTAGAACCAGGGTAAAACTGTATCGATTCCTCTGCGCCGCAGCTACGGCCCATAAAAGGGCTGGAAAGGTGCATTTGTCACGTTGCCATAGCGAGGGATGGATGCTGCTGCTGGGATCAGTACAAAACTCTCCTCTGGGGGGACCTCGGGTGATGCTGGGTGCTTTGTGTGGGATGTGCCCTGTACAGGTGGTGGGGGTTTGAGCTCTGATATTGGAGTGGGGTGAATGTGGTCTTGAAGCTGGGCATGAAGATACCCCCAGAAGGGTGGATGGAGGCTTTGGGATGGGCTTTGGGCATCTCTTGGGTTCTCAGCATACAGTGGTACGTGGCACAGTGATGATGGAAAGCATGGTATGGGTGGATCTGGCAAATCATGCTGAAGGACAGGTGTCCTGTCCTGGGTTATCGTGGAGGGAGTGTCCCTCAGTAATGGGAAAATGGGTGTAGAGGTATGCAGCAGGGGAGGGAAGCAGAGAAGGGGTGTTTTTGGCTGTGCCATGGGCTCCAGCAAGCTGTATCTGCCCCAGTAAGGCCAGTCCTGAGGTCCCTCCATGCACTGCTGCTCCCCGGCTGCTCAGGGGTCTCTTTTTTTAATTAAATACATTTGTTTTGTAAAACGGCCTAAAAATAATCCGGGACTGGTGCATGCAGGAGGCTGGCGGTGAATCAAAGGCGTCGCTCTAATTAAACGGGCCCCGGTTTGTTTGTGAGCCGCATACATTTCCATGCTAATCAGCTGCACACCAGGATCCGGCTTTCCCAGCTCCTGATTGGGAACATTGCAAATGGGGAGGGGGACGGGGGACACAGGGCAGTGCTTGGAATGAGATGTGTTTTTTCTTGGGGTGCGGGGGTCTCCACCAGTCTGTCTGCTTGGGTTGGTGTTAGCAGGGTGTGTACATGTCACCTGTGGCTTGTCTGTGGTCCTGCTGCTGCTGGGGGAGTGCTGAGGTGCTGATAGGGTCTGGGCTGCTTTGCCATGCTGCAGAGGCCACGGCTTGTTCCCTCCAGTGAGGGACGGGGGTGCAGCATCCCGATAATGGGGCACTCTCCCCACCCAGGCAGAGGTGAAGGGTGCATGGTTCTGTGCTCACTCCTTGCTCTCTCCTGCAGATCCTGGTGGACTTGCCGGCTGATAGGAAGCACCAAGCGCTGCAGTATGAGAACGTGGTGGCCCACGAGGGCAGCTCCATCCTGCGGGACCTGGTGCTGAGCCCTGACCGCCAGCACCTCTATGCCATGACTGAGAAGCAGGTAAGAGGTGGGGGCTGCAGCCCCCAAAGCCATGCCACTGCCACATGCTGTGTCACTTGTCTTCCCCCCTCTCTGTTCCCTGCTGAGCTCTGTTCCCTGAGCTGGTGGCATCCCCCAGATGCACTGTTGTCTTTGTTGCCTTTGTCCTGATGTCCAGTCTGCACTTTCTCTCTTCATCCTTTGATGTCTCACTGGGGACAACCCCGTGCCTGAAAGTCACTTGCCTACTAATCCTAATGGCTGGGAAAGGCAGATGAGATGCTCTCCAGGCTCTGGCCCCAGCTGTCACCAGAGCTGCCCAGCCACCTCTGTCCCGCCTCAGTCATACCACCTGGGAACACTCAGTTCCTCCCTATTCCCCCTTGTACAAAAACACCACCTCAGGGCACGTCTCCCAGACATGGCCCTTCTGTTCCTCTCCTCCCCATGGTCCCTGCCCCGGGCATTAATTGTTAGTAGCAGCTGCTTGAAATCCCTGTGCCCCGGGGAATAAGGGCTGCTGTGAGAGCTGGCATCCCTGCTGCAGGGCTGTGAGCCCCCCCCCTGCCCTCGGGCTCTGCAGGTGGGCAGAAGCTCCTTGCTCTGAGCAGCCTGTTCTTTCTGGGATAGCTGCTTTTGCACCCTGGGGCAAGGGGAGCCATTGGCTGGGGCTGGTACAACTGATGTGTCCCCAAACCTCAATCTGTGCACCTCTGTGCCTATTGCTGCCATCCCCAGTTCAGAGCTGTCCAAAGGTGCAAGTCTAACTCGGGCATGGGCATGCAGCTGTCATCCTGAAAGCGTGGTTGTTGCTCACGATAAGAAGTTTTAGTTGGCTGAGAGGGAGTTTGCATGTTCCTGGGCTTGCTGGAGAGCCTGCTGCTACAAGTTAATCCATCAAAGGGCTGCCAGCACGGGTGAGGTCCCCGCTGCGTCAGGGCTTTGTGCCGAGCAGCAGTGGCACTTTTTGGAGCTGTTGGGCTCCTGTGTGGTCACAGCCTCATAGCCTGGCCCTGTCTCCTCCCCATATCCAGCCTGGGTGGCAGAGGAGGAGAGAACCCAGCCTAGCGGTGGCAACTCTGTGCTCCTCCCCAGTGAGAAGGGGGACAAGGGGCTGTTTTTTCCCCAAAAACCAATTCTGTGCTGGTATCTCAGCGCCAGCTCTTCCTCTCCTTCTCTTTGGGAAGCTTTGCTGCAGGCAGAGCGTTCTCAGCCAGGGTTATCTCAGGAATGTCTCAGGAGTTTGTAGTTGTGCTGGGCTCTGCCTGATGGGGAGAGGTGTGCATGGGTGGGAGTGCTGCACAACTCCTGGCCACTGGCCCAGGGCTTTGGAAGGGGGAAGGATGCTGGAGCAGGGCCTTGCATTTGTCTAGACAGCCCCACGGGGACGGCAGAGCCTTTACCCCCCTCCTCCCAGTTCCTGTCTCTGGTTTCTGGTCTGCTGCAGGAAACCCGAGGCTTTCCAGGTGAGGCAGAAATTGGATTTGGGCTGCAAAATTCAAAACAAGGGCAGTGCCACACCACAGCTCGCAGAGGAAGTCTCCCAGTGCTGTGCCCATTGCTCTCCCCACCCTCTGTCCTCCTCACTGCAGAGCATCACAGCTTTCCCTCCCTTTTACAGGAGCTCCTGGGATTGAGGCTGTGTTTTCTGGGTCCTGGTGAGGAGGGGATACTGTGGAAGCAGAATAGGGGAGGAGCTTCCTAAGCCCCCATCCTGTCCCCCCCCACTTCTCCTCCCCACTCCTTAATAAAAGCTTCTCTCTTCCCTACTGCAGCTTGTTGTTATCAGAGTGCTGGTGGAAAGTAATTAAATGAACAGTTGTAACAGAGCTCGAAGGGCTCGAAGAACGAGGGGATTTTAATCAAATCTGGAGGAGCAATTAATAAAGGAGTGGTAACCCTTTCAGAGCGGGACTACCAGCTGCAGGGGTGTGTGGGAGGTATTGGAAGCTGGTGTCAGGGCTGAGCTATTCCCCAAACTCTGCAAAGATGAAGGTTTCCCCATTCTGACCTTGCTGGGCTGGCCAGGAGATGGTGGTGGTTGTTCTTGTGGAGTTCCCAGACTCAGAAGTGTGATGTCCAAGGCATTTCCCAATGCACCGCGCGGTGGTGGATTCGCAGCCCTTTGAGCCCTTGGTGTCCCAGCTGTCCCCTTGGGCACCACTTCACTGCCTTTTCCCACAGGTGACGCGGGTGCCGGTAGAAAGCTGTGAGCAGTATGAGAGCTGTGAGCTGTGCCTGGGCTCCCGGGACCCCCACTGTGGCTGGTGTGTCCTCCACAATGTGTAAGTACCAGGGCTGGCGCTGCGGTCACGGAGCTTTGCTGACTGTGTCCTTCCCATTGCTGTCCTGCACCTCACACTCAGCTGTAGGGAATGGAGCCTTCTGAGGGGTTCCTTAGAACTGTGCCAACCTCTCCTGTTTCAGTTCTGGTGAGGCTGTGCCTTGAATGCTGTGTTCAGCTGTAGGACCTTCACTGCAAGACACTGGGGTGCTGGAGAGTGTTCAGAGAAAGGCAACAAATCTGTGAAGGGTCTTATGAGGAGCAGCTGAGAGAACTGGGATTGTTCAGACTGGAGCAGAGGAGGCTCAGGGGAGACCTCATTGCTCTCTACAACTGCCTGAAAGGAGGCTGTGGTGAGGTGAGGGTTGGTGTCTTTTCTCAAGTAACAGCAATAAGATGATAGGATAAATTGTGCCTAGTGAGATTCAAGTTGGATATTAGGAAACATTTCTTCTCAGGAGAGGTGAGGCACTGGCACAGGCTGCCCAGGGAGGTGGTGGGGTCACCATCTGAAGGCATTCAAGAACTGTGGAGATGTGGCACTGAGGAACATGGTCAGTGAGCATGGTGGGGATGGATTGATAGTTGTACTAGATGGTCTTAAAAGTCTTTTCCAACCTTAATGATTCTGTGATTTTATGACAGGACTGTAAGACGTGTGCGTTGTTCACTTTCTCTCTCCATTTTGCCTAGCATTTAATTAAAACACTTCCTATAATGAAATAATGTTGTTGCAGAAAGCATGGAGAGCAGCGGGGAGGGAGTCGTCTGCTCCGTAAAGGAGGCAATGGAGCATTGCAGGCTGCTCTGTAGGGGTTGGGGAGATGTGTATGTTTGACAGGGGTGCTGCAACAGAAGAGGAGAGGGATGTAAGCATGGCTGCACTGTAGCAGAGGTGCTGACACAAAGGGAAAGCAGAGCTTCTATTCTGACCTCAGGCACCTGAGGCCCACTGCTGGGCACCTCGTCCCCCCATTGGGTATTTCTCAGCTTCTCCTCTTCACCTTGGTGGTTTCATCCCCCCAGATGCTCACGCAAGGACCGCTGTGAACGGGCAGATGAGCCCCAGCGTTTTGCCTCCGAGCTGCGGCAGTGCGTGCAGCTCACCGTGCAGCCCAGGAACATCTCAGTCACCATGTCCGAGGTCCCGGTAAGTCCTCAGGGCTGGGAAGGCAGCAGTTAAGTTAAATAACGAGTGTGCGACTGATAGGGAGAAACGAGAGATCTGATACAAATAAAATGTAGGGGATTGATGAGGGCCGGCCTGTTGCTGGATGCAGATAATAAAACTGTTGATTACTATTCAGAAAAGACGTAACCGAGCAATAAATGGTTCTCCACAGTAAAAATAACAACATCAGATTTGCTGTTTGTAGGCCAGAGATCCATCTAGCTCAATATCCTGTCTGATAGTAGTAGATATTTTGGGATGTGGCTTAGATGCACAACTCACTGCTCTGTCTGTGCAGACAGAAAGGATGATGTACTTCCATGAAGTATTTTCCAGGCCATTAGCACTGTAAAGAGAATGCAAAACAGCGTATACTAGCAATAAACTTCTGCAAGCTGCCAGGTCTGGATGTCTGGCACTCAGGAGTCCTGAAGGAGTTGGCCTAAGAGTTCCTTGGCTTGCAGATGGGGCTTTGTAATAAAGAAGTGGATGTTGAGAAAAGTCCAGCAAGCAGAAAAGGCTCTTGTTGGAAGGGCACGTGGGATGACCCAAGTGGCTCAAGATTGCTTGGTTTGACATCAAGCTGAGAAAAGCTAGTGGAAAAAAACGAGGCAGGATACAACTGATGAAGAATCAAGGATGGGAATATAATTAATGCTAGTCAATGTAGTTTTGTGTCAAACAAACCACATTTTGTTCTTTGATGAAATTATGACTTGAATTAGAAGAGGGACTGCAGGGATGTGATGTCTCTAGACTTCTACAAGGCATTTGACTCGGTACAACACAACATTCTGATTAAAAATTAGCATTATACAATATTGATAAAGCATGTGTTAAGTGGATTAAGAACTGGCTCCGTGACAGATCTCAAAAAGTCATTGTCAGAGGGGAATTGTCACTGAATGGAAACATTTTGAAAGTGCTTCTACAGGGATTGGAGTGCAGCTTTGGCTTTTCATCGGTAATGTGGAAACAAATGCGGAATTGCTGCTGATGAGATCTGCAGAGGATGCTGAGACCATGCCTAACATGCATGGGGTGGCATGGGGAGGTTACGGGGTGCTGGGGAGGAGATCCCCATGGGATTTGTGCTAGTTCAGCAGGGAAAGTGGATTTGATACTGCCAGGTCCAGAGCTGGACTTTGAGGAGTAAGGCTGGCTTTTGAGAGACGACCTGGGAAGTGTTGATATTGGAAAGGATCCTGGTGTGCTGATCCCAGGAAGGGCTGCTGGTGCTCCCTGGGCATTGCTGGGAGGCATTTATTGCTCTCTCTCGGGCTATTTCTTTGCCTGCTGGCTGCCTGTACCGCGGGGTCTGCTGTGATCAGTGCTGGGACACAGCACTCGGCCGGAGACAGCTGCTTGAAGGAGGCTGAGCACCTTCAGTAAACAGCATGTAAATGAGTTGGGGCTGGAGAAATGCCTTCCAGTGAGAGACTTCCCGAGCTCAATCTGCTTAGCTTATCAAAAAGGAGATTAAGAGGTGACTTGATTACAGAGTATAAGTGCCTTTACGAGGAGCAAATATCAGGGACTAAAGGGCTTTTTAATCTATCAAGGAAAGGCATAACAAGAACTAATGGCTGGAAGCTGAGAAAAATTCAAATTAGAAATAAGGCAAGCGTTTTGTAAAGTGAGAACTGCTGACCCCTGCAATGAATTTGCAGAGGAAGAGGTGAATTCCTTCCCTCTTGATGTCTGCAGAAGTAGATGCTTTTCTGTAAAGCATTCTTTAGCCAAACACTGGGCTTGGTCTCTGCAGAGAGGTGAGACATAATGGTTTGTGGTGCAGTAGAGGGCAAAGGATGTCAGGCTGTGATGCATTCAGGATTCTGAGCCATTTGCATCTGCTCTCCTGGCTTGAGCACTGGGGTCCTGCATGGGGACTGTGCGTGTGGATGGGGGAGCAGGGGGGTTGCACCCCTGGTTTTCCTGTTGGCTGTTTCACGCAGCAGACACAGAGGAGTCATTTTGTTAGCTTCCTAAGGCCATGCTCCACGTTCTCTCCCCCAGCTGGTCCTGCAGGCCTGGAACGTCCCGGACCTCTCAGCAGGAGTCAACTGCTCCTTTGAAGACTTCACTGAGTCCGAGAGCCGCATTGAAGATGGAAAGATCTACTGCAGCTCTCCCTCTGCCAGGGACGTCATCCCCATCACCAGGGGCCGTGGTGAGCTTGTGTCCTTTGTCTTGGCTTTGCCCCATAGGCAGGCACTGAGGAGAACAGTCCTGTGACAGTGATCCCCAGCCCCAAACAGGGGTGGAAATGGGTTCTTGGGGTGCTGAAGTAAAAGGACGTTGCTGCTTCTCCAGGAGTGGTGCTTGCCTTTGATGTCCTTGCTCTTTTCCAAGCCATGGGTGCAGCTACATGCTGACACTGTAATGTTCAGTGCAGCAGTCCTGCAAAACCTGGGCATGCTGGCCTCATTCCAAACCTCTGGACCATTTCTGTAGATGTCTATGGACTCTTGGGCACTGCTGACCATGGAACTGTTAAAGTCTTCTCCAGTGCTGCTCTTGTACTCCGGGGCAGGCACCTGTCTCCATGTTGTAGTTAGCTAAAGGGGCTTGATGCTGCTCCTGGGCCTTGCTGGCCCACTTAGTGGCTGGGTGGGTATGGATGGGTACTTCCCTTTTATTTCTGGATTTGGGATTTTGTTGGTTAACAAGAGTGGATATTGTTGTCCAGATCCTTCCAACCCATCACAAGCTGTGGGCTGAACACATGCCCCGGTGTTCATTTCGCTGTGTCATTTCTGATGCCTTTCTCTGCCTTGTTCTCTCTCAGGAGATAAGCGGGTGGTGAAACTCTACCTGAAATCTAAGGAGACCGGGAAGAAGTTTGCCTCTGTGGATTTTGTTTTCTATAACTGCAGCGTCCATCAATCGTAAGTGGCCTGGGCTTTGTGAGTGTGCTCTGGGAGCAGATGGGCTGGGCGGTGTGAGACTTCATCAGAGAGATCTCCGTTTGTGGGTGCTGATGTTGCAAGAAGAAAGGGAGGTTGAGCACGGCGGTACTGGCAGTGAGAACCCTCTTTTTGTAAACTGGGGGAGTGACCAGAGAACTCACAGTTGGTTTGGATATGTGGGAACGTGCAGTACCAGGGCAGAACCTCACTTAAGAACAGGGCTTTCAGTTGGAAAAAGCTTTGGAAGAAAAAGCAAATTTACTGCATTGCAGACTGGAGCAGTCCATGTGACTGAAAATGCCAAGCATCTTGTTATTCCTGGAAACAGTTAATAGGAGCGAGTTGGTTAGGCAAAAGGAGAGCCTGTGTTTTCCTGTGACAGTACCTGCTTCCCAGGCTTGCTGGAGGGAGGGCTGGAAAGTTACAGCAACACTGAATGGAACATGCTGCATGTCGTGGGGCAGTTACCCAAGAATTTCCTCAGTGGAAGTAATTGTGAATTTGCTTTCTTGTCAGGCTGGCTTGAAATCTACTCTATAAGCGTGGGTCTTTAGGCAGTTTGAGATATGCATGTGATAAAATAGAGGAGGTGGGGATTATTGATGTGCTGTCTAAGCACAGCGTACAAGTCTACCAGGCAGCTGCTGATGAGGTGCTGAGGACGCTGTGCTCGAACTGCAGGGAGAGCATCGGGGAAGATGCTGGGGTGTGTTTGGGCAGAGAATTTGGAGCTGGAGAATGCGAGCGATTTCGTTCTGCTGCCAGAAGCCTCCCACGGATGGTGGTGCTCCGACTGATCAGTAATTACAGATAAGCAAATGTGGAGTGATCTCTTTGGGGCAGCTTTTTTTGTGAAGGATCTAGCCTGGCTTAGGGAGTTCTGCTGCTGATGGCTTTTTCAAAGCGTGCTCAGCAAGCAGGCTGCATTTTGCTTTTTGATCAGGGAAAAGCAGGTGAGCTGCAGGCACCCCGTTGTGCCGGCTGCTCCAAAGGGAATGAGTCAGAGGAGAGCCCAAAGGACCTCTGCTTGTGCTCCTGCTGAGGAGCAGCATGCTGCTGAAAAGCTCAGGGTGTGGAGGCAGAGAGCAAAACAGAGCCAGGGCCAAGGAGCAGCAGGCCCTTCAAACCTCCTGCATCACAGCTCTGGGTGCAGGAAGAGGGCTGTGCTTGGGGAGTGTTGCAGCAGTGAGCGGGCAGCCTGCAGACTTGACTTTCTCCCTCACCTTGACTCGCGAGATGAGCTTTGTCTCCCTTCACGTCTTGTGGTTTCAATAACATTAGCTCAGCTTTGGCTCAGGATGGCTGCATGTCATTATTTTGCAAATCAAAAAGCAGATGTGACTTTTATTTTTCTAAATGAAAGCAACAAGACTTTTCAGTAGGAAGAGGATCAGATTGGTCCAATTGGGGCCACAACATTTTGGTCCAGTGGGAAGAGCTGGTGAGGGAATTGGCATTTCATTTTATGTGCCTTATATAGCAGCAAAAGAACCCCCCCCTTTCCCAACAAACCTACAACAAAGAGCCCTGACTGATTTATTACTGCGTTGATGTTTAATTTTGGGTGCATTATTTAAAAAGGCTAATTATGGATGCATTAATATTTATGGGCTTCGGTTGGAGCTGATAGAATAGTCCGTGTTCTAGGCTGGTGAACATTATTATTATTTTCTTTACATCAAGAATTTTAGGGTTTGGAGGCAATTTTAACTGTGTGACCCGCAGTCAGATCATAACCAAAGAACATGACAATATCCAGGGTGATGCAATACTTCTAAATACCATTTGCAGACAGGCGTCTTTAATGGATCTCTCTGGAGTTAATAGCCTTTCGGATCCAGGTTTCATATTTTGTGGAGGAAAATCTATAAGTCAGCTTGATATATTCTGCATTGGGAACAATATGCTTTTCCATGAGGCTAATGTTGGTTTTTTTTCCTGTGGAGTTCTCTGATCGCCGTGCATTATGTTTTCCTTTTTTTTTTTTTTTTTCTTTTTATTTGGGCGGCTTTGGTTGGGTTGGGAGCCAGAGGCCTGAGTGTTGAATCATTTCTCAGCTACAAATAAAGTGTTTGGACTGGTAGAGGCCCTGGGCTGCCTTCCAGGGTCAGCCCTTTGTGTCACCTGCTGTGAAGGGACTGTCCCCCAGCACCCTGCAGCATCGCCCACGCCGATCCCATCCCTCAGACGAGCCAACAACAGCAGTAGACATGGGCTGCACTCAGTGCACCTTGCCCTTTTGCAAGCTTGGTTTACTTTTTGTTTCACTTCAGAAGAAGGAACCGAGCAGAAAGCCTTGAGTGTTTGTTCCAAGCTCCTTCCCATAACATTTCAGTCCTGCAGGCTTTCTTTGGTTGCCCCTTTTTGCTCTGATTTGCCTTATCTAAAGTGCTAGGTACAGACTAAGATTCTCAGCATAGCTGATTGGCATGCCCGCTCAATATACCTTCTAGGGACGTGTGGTTTTCAGAGGGCATGCAGGTTCTGTGCCTGATTACAGGACACTTGAAGGTGGATGCTGGCATCCCTTGAAAACTTTGTCACCAGCTTCTGTAGCAAGGAGGTGTGATTGCCACACTTGATGATATTTGAGAAGTCACAACAGTAAGGTGAAGCCCCTGGTGCCTGGAAAAAAGGCAGTGTTGTACCCATTTGTCAGAAGGGTAGAAAAAACCCAGGGAATTACCAGCCTGCCAGCCTCACCTCTGTGCTGGGGAAGATCCTACAGCAGATCCTCCTGGAAGCTATGCTAAGGCACATGGAAGAGAAGGAGGTGTTACAGGATAACCAGCATGGCTTCTCCAAGGGCAGATCCTGCCTGACCAATGGTGGCCTTCTGTGATGGTGTAACTCCACCAGCAGACAAGAGAAGAGCCACCGATGCCATCTATCCAAACTTCAGTAAGGCTTTTGTGACACGGTCCACCATAACATTTCTCTCCAAGTTGGATTTGATGGATGGACTGCTCAATGAGGAACTGGTGGTATGCTTGTATCCAGAGAGGGTGGTCAGTGTCCACATGCAGATCTGTGACAAGTGGTATCCCTTAGGGGTCAGTACTGGGACCAGTGTCAATGATACCAAGAGATTGAGTGCACCCTCTGCAAGTTTGCTATGCATCATGGTTGATGTGCCCAAGGGGTGGAATGCAGTTCAGAGCGACTCAGGGTGAGCAATGGGACCAGGGGAACTTCGTGAGGTTCAACAAAGCCAAGTGCAAGGTGTTGCATCTGGGTTGTGGCTACTGCTGCTATCAAAACAAACTGCAGGATGTAAGGAAGGAGCGCAGCCCTGCCAAAAAGGACCTAGGGGTACTGGTGGGTGACCAGTGGTGTCTGGGGTACCACCAGCTGGTCATGAGCCAGCACTGTGCCCTCACAGCCCAGAAAGCCAACTGTATTCTGGGCTGTGTTCCAAAGCAGGGTGGCCAGAAGGTCAAGGAAGTGATCCTGCCCCTCTGCTCTGTGCTGTGAGACCTCACCTGAAGTGCTGCATCCAGATGTGGAATCCTCAGTACAGGAGAGACAGGGACCTGCTGGAGCGCATCCAGAGGAGGACCAAAAAAATGCTCCATGGGATGGAACACCTCCCTACGAGGACAGGCTGAGAGAACTGGGGCTGTGCAGCCTGGAGGAGAGAAGGCTCTGGGGAGACCTGAGGACAGCCTTTCGGTATCTAGAGGGAGGCTGTAAGAAAGAAGACAGGCTCTTTAGCAGGGTCTGTTGTGACTGTAAATAGAGTAGGAACACGGAAAAGGTTGTGCAGGGGATCCCTGTGCTGTGAAGCAGCCCTGGGCTGGGAGGCACAGCTGCACCAGAGCTGCTCCAGTAAATTCGCACCGCTTTGCGAAAACGCCTTGCAGCAGAGCCTTGCTTCCAGCTTTGCAGGATTAGAAGGGTGAGTAGGTAGGCAGAGCTTGCTGTGATTGAAAAATGATCACGGTTTGTTTGTGGTGAAAACAAATCACTTCCCAGTGAGAGTGGAGAGGATGAGCCTTGTGCCTGGCTCATGCTGCAGCCTGTAGAAAGGCAAGGACGCTGGCAGGGGAGTTTCACTGTATGACCTTTAAAGGTCCCTTCCAACTCAAATGATTCTGTGATCCTATACATGTAGTTCAGGGGTATTGGCTGGGCAGGGTTGGGAGCTCCTGACTTTGTTAGCAGGGGTCTGTTTGCTAAGGGCATGAAGCAGAGCTGGGCCCAGATGCCATGAGTTGCTCTCATAGACTCACCTCATGGGTGTGTTCCCTTGGGGGCCTCCTATGGGGCACTGATCAGGCAAACATGTTTGAAGACCTTTGGTTGCTTTGATAGTCTGATGAATCTGCCTGTGTCCAGAGAGCTGTGTGCAGATGCTGAGGTCATCTTTCTAAGCATTACTCTTCCACTTCAAAGCATTCCCTGGGAAATGAGTTCCCTTTAAAGATAAAGATGTGATGTCGGGCTCTAAGGGTGAGGGGAAAATCCCTCTGCCATGCTCACAGAGAGGGGAATTCCTTGGGATGTGGAGCTGGGGCCAGAGGGACACTCCTTGCCCAGCCCTCTGTCTGCAGAAACCAGCCTGCAGAAACCAGTTGTTCCAGGGACAACCAAGAGGTATTTGTTCCTTCTGCATCCATATTTGCTGTTTGGATTTCCTTTCTGGGAACCAGGGGCTGTGATACCAAGAGGAGAGCCGGGCAGACTGGGAACTGGTGCCTGTGCTGTGCTTGCATTCTATGTGCTTATGCTGATGGCACTGACCTCGTGGCCGTGCACTGCTGCAGCTGTGACCCCTGAGTTGCTGGCCATCCTGAGGGTGCCATAAGAGCTCCAGCAATGGTCTGATTGTGCTGAGCAGCCCCAGCTCCTCCTGTGGGCCAGCTGGGAGCTGCCTGCTACACAGCTTCTGCTCTGCAACCCGGAGCTGCATTTCCAGATGCTTACAGATGCTTCTCAAAGGCACAGCCAGATGGCTGCAAGCAGTTAAGGAAGTGTATATTTGTGTTTTACCACCTCTGAGCTGCGAGGCAGTCACAGATCTGGGTGTAGGATGGCTTCGTGCTCTGCTTTGGACCACCTTTGTTGGGTCACGTTTGCACCTGTGCCCTTAGGCTGGCACAAAGGGAAGGGCAGAAACTTGATGTCCAAAGATGTGTGTCCCTCTGGTGCTCTTTGTGGGGAAGGATTTTTGCAAGTAGATAGCAAGCCCAGGCTTGTCCTGGGATGGGGAATCTGCAGAGTGATCTGGAATTCCTGGAGAGCCTGCGCAAGGGCGTCAGCACAGCCGAGGCCATGACCCACTTTCCTGCCCTCCTCTCTGCCTTCGGTTCTGCCTGGCCCCCCTGCATGGGCTCAGAGGAGCACTGAGGAGTGAGCTGAGGCTCCGTGTCTGTGCTGCATCCTCGGCATCAGTGCTCTGCCTTGCTTCGAGGAAGGGGGGCTTCACATGCAGGAGAAACTCCCTCTAATTATCAGGAGTGATGAAAGCCTCTTAGGCAAAAAGCGATGAGGGAAAAGTGCCTGACCGTGGGAAGGAGAGAGACAGCACAGATGGCATCGTGCTGCCAAGCAACCTGCTCCTATGTGGGAAACAGACAGCAGTGACAAATGGACATGCTGGGGATGCAACCCAGGCCCCTCCGTGCAGTGCGACCTTGGGCAGCCGTGGGCATGGAGCCGTGCCTGTCCCACAGCAGCAGACCCCAGCCTCATCCCAGCTAGCTGCTCACCTTCTGGCCTCTGTTTAGAAGGGGTCTTGGGCTTCAGTTGCTGCTCAGCTCCGTTCTTGTAGGACTGTTGGGTTAGGGTTAGCAGAGAGCTGGGAGTCATAGCGAGGTGCCCAGGGTGACGTAGAGTAGAACAGAATCAAAGAATGAATGGTTTGGGGTGGAAGGGACCTTGAACACCATCCAGTGCCAGCCCCCAAGCAGTGGGCTTGGACATCTCCTATTGGACCAGGGTGGGCTGGAGCTGAGGGTTAGCCATGTTCCCAGCACCAGGTGCTTTGCAGAAGCTTTGGCTGATGGGCTGTGCTCTGGTGCAGGCTGTACATACAGCAAAGATGCTATGTGGTGAGATGTATGAGGTGAACTTACTGATAGTGGCTCTTGATGTCCTTATGGTGAATGGAAAGCTGAGGTAGGGTGTGAGGATTGTCTGCAAGGACTTGGGCTTTAAAGGCAGAGCTGGGTATCAGGAGTGAGCTTGGAGGAGGAGGTCCTGCGTGGTGTGTCCTCACACAATGCCGTGGCTGTAGGAGCATTCATGTCCATTAACAAGTGAGGGGGGCAGGGCAGCGGGTGGTGTGCACTAAGGTCAGATGGCAAAGGAGAACCTTGGGTGGCACGTGATGTGCCCTTGCCCTGGCAGAACAGGGCTGGACCAGGCTCTTTACCCAGGGTCTGTGGGGTGCCTCACACAGATCAGACCCTGTGGCTAGAAACCCCCCTGCTGCCTGTACCTCCTCCTCTTCTGAATGGCCCCTCGGTGCCTGCTGTGCTTCCACCAGGGTTAACCCCTGCGTTCCTTGCCTCACTGCCTCCGCTCCTGCATTTCCCTGCCCACCAGCCATGGGGGATGAGGGCAGGAGCAATCCCTGTGCTTTATTTGTGCTCCTACCCTGTGCACCCCCATCCATCAAAGCAGACAGAGCTGGGAGGCCACGGCTGTGCTTTTAAGTCGAATCTCTGCAGCTGAAATAAAAATCGCATATATTTGCATAAGGAGCATCTCAATTAGCATATTTGTGGGTAAAGCTAAAAGGGCTGTTCATTTGGAAGTGAAAATGTGAGCGAAACATGGAAATGACTTCCAGCCCCCTTTGCAAGCAGCTTAATTAAATATTTCCTTAGCGTGTGCGTGTGGATTTAGGAAGCTATCGTAGTACATGCAATGGGGTGTGAAACCCCCGGGCAGGGAACCATGGCCCTGCATGGTGTGCAAAGTGTGCATTCAGGCACTGACACCGCTGCCCAGAGTGGCTGTGGGTTCCCTGTCCCTGGAGGTGTTTGAGACCAGGTTGGAGGTAGCCTGAGCTGGTGCCTGATCTAGTGGTTGGCAGCCCTGCCCATGGCAGGGGGGTGGAACTACGCAGTCTTTGAAGTCACTTCCAACCAAAGCCGTTCTATGATTCTATAAGATGGGGTGGGGGAGAGAGGCTTATTGCTGCTGCTTAGCCCCTAGGCAGATGCAGATGCCCTTTGCTGTATTTACCTAATGCTGCCCGCTCTGCTCTCTCTGCAGCTGCCTGTCTTGCGTGAACGGCTCCTTCCCCTGCCACTGGTGCAAGTACCGCCACATCTGCACCCACAACGCCGCCGACTGCTCCTTCCTGGAGGGACGCGTCAAGCTTTCCGAGGTAAAGGCAGTGTGAGCCAGCTCTGCTCTGCTCTGCTCTCCATGGCCTGCAGGGAAGGCTTTAGCAGATGAAAAGCCTTTGAAAAACCGTGTGCAAGCTGTGTCTGGAGTGCTGGACTTGTCTGGGAAGCAAGGAGGGAGTGTGGGGGATGGGCTGCGTGAGCTGAGCAGCGCCGGTGCAGGGGCTGCTTGGGAATCTGGGCTAAGTCAGGAAGCACTGTAGGCTGAACCAAGACAGAAACAAAGGCAGAGACGCTTAAGCATTTCCTTTGATGTTTTCGAAGGGAGCAAGCTTGAACTGTCACTGCAGAACAACTTGTTTTCAGAGAGAGGAAGGCTTAAAGCCGTAAAACAAACCATTTTGCTGCACCTCACATGTTGTTCTTCTGTAATACTTTGCTAAGAAGCATGTTTTGTGGGGCCTTATCCTGTGGGATCCATGCCAACAGCTGGGGAAATCCATCACTCACAGGGCATCTGCAGGAGAGCCATGCTTCTGCACCCTGCCCCGCATCACAGTTTGTGTTGTGAAGGGAGAGATCTGAGGAGGAGAATCCTGTGCCTGGAAGGTAGCTTTGGTGATCTGTCTCTTGTAATTTGTGCCTTGTGAGGTCTCCCTCCACACGCAGGCTCTTGGGTCCCCTTTGGTTCAGGGTTGTCATCCTCCCTCTGTCCCCATGCCTCAATGCTGGGCTTGGGGCATGTGTAGAGTTAGATGGAGCTGTCTGTGGCCATGGTGCCCTCAGCCCTATTACTCACTTCCCCCTTGCTTTGACTGTCTCCCTCCTGCCTTCCTGGCTGCTCCAAGCTCCTCACTGATGCAGGTCAAACTCCCAGCAGGGAACAATCAATTTTTCCCCTTCTTCCTGACTCCCTCTTCCATCACTTAAGGAGCTTGAGCCCTCCAGTGAGGGTTGGGCCATTACTTAGGCAGAGTCCCTCCACCAGCAGCACATTGGCTCTTGTACTGGGGACAGAATGGATGACACATCTCAAATTTACGCATCTTCCTTCCAGCAGTTGAAAGAATCTTATAGGCAGGAGGGAGACCACCTTGTTCCATGGTCTGATAGTGACATGACAAGTAGGAATGGCTATAAACTAAACAAGAGGAGTTTTACTTTAGATAGGAAGAAATTCTGTACTCAGGGAGGTGAGGCACTGCCCAGAGCTGTGGGTGCTCCACTCCTGAAGATGTTCAAGGCCAGGTTAGATGGGGCCCTGGGCAGCCAGTTCACAGCAGAGGGGTTGGAATGAGATGATCTTAAAGCTCCCTTCCAATCTAAGCCATTCTTTTGTAATATCATTCTTCTCTGTTCCCTGTGGAAAGCCAGGGCTACTGCTTCTCCATGAGGAGCTGATGGATCTTCATGGGACATTTTGGGTTTGTAGCCTGCAAGCAGACGTGCTTGGGTCTCTACTTGGGGTCTCCAAGTTGTGCACCTTTGTGGTGCTCAGGAATGAAGGGTGTGGATGGCCAACCTGAGTTTGGTGGCACATCTGCATGGGGCTGTGCTGGATCTCATCGGCATCATTATTGTGAGCATGGAGCTGAGCAAAGCCTGCTTGCAGCCAAGTGCATCTGGAGAGCTGGAAAAGCCCAAGCATTGCTCTCGCGTGTGGGTAGGTGGGGCTGGCACTTGCTATTTCAGCACAGCAACAGGAAATGAGACGCTGCTTGTCACCCAACCAGGGTGTTGTTGCATGGGATATGCTGTGGCCCCACCAGCAGTGCTTTGTGTGCTTGTCCCCTTGGAATTCCCAAGATGAGAGAGCAGCAATGGCTTTCTGCTGGTCTTTCCATCACAAATTCCACATTTTGGCACCTTTTCTCCTGCTATGATTTGAACACAAGGAGGCTGCATCTTGCTTGTTGATGCTCAAGCGTGTGCCACACAGAATGCATCATGCATAGGCCAGAACCAGCCCAGCTCAGTGACCCACACAAAGGGGAATTATGTAATGTGAGAAGATTAGAAAAAGCTGTTATCTCCCAGCTCGTGCCCTGAAGAAATCTGGCGAGGGTTCAGCCTGTCCTTGAGGTCGCCTTCCCAGCCAGCTCTGTGCTTCTGCAAACAGGATGCTCAGCGCTGGCTGTTCCCAGCAGCTCTGGTGTGTGTGGTGGTGGGCAGCTGCTGGGACTCTTTCCCCATTCTCTTCCAGGCAAACCAGTAACATCCCCATCATGTTGTCTTTATGTTGGCTTTGGGACGTGTGCACCTTTCCCAGGGGACAGCAGTTGTGCCACTTCCGGACGTAGGCAGGCTGTGCCCCCGCAGACCTCTTGGTCACCCCGGGGTCTGGAGCAGCGCCTGCCTTGAGGTTTGGAAAGCCTGGCTCTGCTTGTTTGCACTTTGGTGTGGCCTCAGCAGTTCCTGGCAGAGCACCCTCAGATTGGCCGCAGCTGTGGGCTGTGTGTTGGTGCTGGGATCAGAAATCTGCCCTTTTTCCCGGTTAGGGGTGACCTGGTGCCAGACTGTGGCAATGCTGGACAAATTAAGGGCAGCTGTTCAGCCCGATGCTCTCTGCGGGAGGATGTGTGACTCTCAGTTATTTTAGATAAGATCTGGTCCGTCTGCAGTTCATTTGGCAGGAGTGTGGTAGGTACTGGTCAGAAGAGGCGCAGAAGTCTGCCCACACCAGGGCTTAACTGAGCATCTGCCGCTTCCCACTGGCGCCTGAACTACAGTGGTGTCATTCAGTTCTTTCTGGGTGTTGCGCAGGAAAAGGCAAACAGCAACCCAGTGCGTTGCCTTGGGATGTTACACTGAAAGCGTGGGGTGCCTGGGCTCTGTTGTGGCAGGGAGGAGCTGGGTGCAGGTAGGGAGCCACTGTGCCACTGTCCCAGGCACGTCCATGTGCCTGGGAGTGGCAGCAGCAGGAGGGATGTTCCTGCCTGCTGGCTGCTGTGGCTTTGAGCCCTCAGCTCTGGAGCCTTTGATTACTTCGCATTCCTGGAGATCCTCATTCTCTGTGGCTTTCTCCGTGGGTGAAGCAGTGGGAAGGGAGGGAGGATAATGCAGCACTGGCTGCTCTCCACTTGTCCCCACTTGCAGAGCGCAGTGGTGGCTGTGGGTGTGAGCAGAAATGGAAAAGGAATTCTCCTTTCCCAAAACACTGTTCTCTGAGACATTCTCTGGTGTCTGTCAATGCACAGCTACCGTGTAGGGTGAAAGCCTTGCAGCATGCGGGGACCACGTGTGTTTGCTGAGCCTAAGCACATTCCAGTTGTGCTTGTTTCCTCATTCCCTTGACTGATGGAAATGGCTGAGACCTGGAGGACTTCTTGAGGGACCCTGAAAGCCTCCAAGGAAATGATGCTTTGACTTCGCTGGAAAGAAGTCTGGCTCTCTGGGTGCTGTGGCAGCTGGAGCAGAAGTGATGTTGCTGAATAACTAATTCAGCCCTCAGGTGACTAAGGAAGCTGGCACCCAAGGCAGGTAGAGCGTGTCCTGCCCTATAGCTGCCCCAGCTGTTGTCACCAGGGACTTGGGCACGTTGAAGCCAGCCCCATCCTGCCTTCATCCCCATATCTGGTGATACAGCTGTGCAGCTGGAGCTGGGAGCTGCCAGAGAAGCCCAAACTGCAGCATTTGTAGTGTGACTCCGCCTCTTAGTTCTCCAAGCAAACTTAGGCACCTTTGTGATGCTCTCATCCTGCTAGTAAAACAGCTTTAATGGGAGAAACTGAGTTGTGCAGTGTTTGGGAAGGATGGGAGAGGACATCTGGCTTTGCTCTTCATCCCGTAAGTTTGCACATCCTTTGAGCAGAGTCTGTTTTCTGCAGGAAAGCAAGCCATGGGGACTGGACAAAGCTTTTCCAAGGGCCTTAAGTGACAGGCAGAGTTCTGTCAGCTGTTTGGATGACTTGTAGGGGAAGTGAGTTGTCCAAGTGCCCCCACCCCTCCTGCCACCCTGGGGGCCAGGCAGCGCTGCCCCAGCACCCACCAGCACCAGGTGCTTCCTGTTTGGGAGCCAGCTGAAATTTTTGCTGGATGAGACAGTTCTGGCGGCAGATGCAGAGCATGTGATGTCGTGGGGGGACTCGGCTCCGGCTCAAACCGCGAGTCAGCAAATCGGCCCCATGTTTATGCATACATGGGGAGAGGGATGCCTGTGCCTGCTACACCCGTTGGGTTTGCAGGGAGCCTAGGGTCTTGTAAGCACCCATAGTGAGCCCAGTTGGGTGGATAAAGTGTTTGCTGCCCTGGCTGGACCGAGAGCATCAGTGATGATGGTAAAATGAGGATCTGCAACCAGTCACTGTGCTGAGGATCCCCAGCCTGGCCCTACTTTCCTCTGTTTCTGCATGTTTTGGGAGCAGATAGGTTCTTCCCTTAAAAACTGCTTTTGGGGAATACAGGCTTGAGAAGAGTGGGAAATTGGAAAGGCGAGATAAGTTGGAACTTTCTGTTAATATTTGCTAAATGAAACAATTTTTAAAACCTCTCCGCAGCATTTCAAAGTCAGGCTGATCGCAGCCTGTGGGATAAAGCCTGGGGCTGTACGGGTCTGGCCCAGTACAGTGCCAGCAGCTGGGGCTGCCCTGCAGCAGCAGTTTCTGGTTTTAGACGAGTCATTTCAACACACGGAATTCCCCCTTGCTGTTATTTTGGGCCAACGCTTCCAGGAGTCGAGACCCCCGGCAGGCTCTGCAAAGCTGGCGTGGGATTGCATCAGGCTGTTATTGCCCAAGTGGCATCCATCGGGGATGCCGAGCTGTTTTGCTGCCTGAGCTCATTTATTTTTGCTCCCTCCTGCTCCCCTGTGCTCTGTGCACACAGCTCCCCCGGAGCAGCTGGGCGCCAGCAGCTATTAAAAGCTGCGTGGAGATCCCCAGGGAGTGGGGGGCTGTCAGGGGGAGCCTTCCTCCCAGCTTGGACTCATTGGTGCCCCTCTGGAGCCACTGGTTTTAGGCACCCTGCCATCAGGCTACCCTGATGAAGCTGCTTTGAGTTGGCCACAGAAATAGCAGAATTCAGTACAGCACCACAGAGTCATGTTGCAGAGGGACAAAAGGGGTAAAAGGCTTTTCTGTCTGTTCATGGACAAAGGGGATTGGAGGCCATGTGAAGCTGGAGAGTGCAACCTCACAGGGCACAGACCAGTGGGCATTAACTCTGATCCTGCTGACCTTGATGACAGCGGAAGTGCCCATCTTGTTGGAGTTGCTGTGCCCAAACATAGAGCTGATATGTTGCTGTCTCAGTCCCAGGTGCTATAGCTGTTCCCCTCCCCGCCTCCCATGGCCAAGATTAACTTGTAACATGGAAAACACTTGGTTCCCCTGCCCTGGGGTTCACTTCTGGTTTTCAGGGCTTTGTTCAGAGCATCCATGAGATGATTATGTGGGGTTGGGTGTGCTCAGGGTGGCCAGGCCTTGTTTCCTTGCAGTGCTCTGCCCTGCTTCATTGCTGCCCTTGCTCTCCTTGCAGGACTGCCCACAGATCCTACCCTCCACGCAAATCTACATCCCAGTGGGTGTGGTGAAGCCCATCACCCTGACAGCCAAGAACCTGCCGCAGCCACAGTCCGGCCAGCGCAACTATGAGTGCATCTTCCACATCCCTGGCAGCACCACCCGTGTCACAGCTCTGCGCTTCAACAGCACCAGCATCCAGTGCCAGAACACCTCGGTGAGTGCTCTGTGGTGTGAGATCATGCAACATTTCTCTGCCCAGTGCATGCTTCATTTGCAGGCTGTTTGTTCTTGCCTGCTGTGTGGCCAGGTGTGCTTTCCCTGGGGCAGTTGATGGAGATTTTATGACTTAGGGGGGTTCTCAGCCTGTGCTCTCTGCTGCCCTGCATCCAGGTGCACAGGGAGGATGCTGTGTGGGGTTGTTCCGGACGGGATCAATACTCCTGCTGCCCTAGGAGACTCACCAGGTTTTGGGAGCACTTCCAAGGAAACTCACTTTTGAAAACTGAGGAAAGTTGCCTGGGCCAGGGCCAGCTGGCCTGGTTGTGTCAGAGCCACGCTCCCCTCCCCTCTGCCTCTCTGACCTCAGAATTCAGCCAACACCTTCTCCATGTCCCGCTCTATGTTTATTCCTCCCACTCGTTCTGTCCCTAAGTGAGATGAGGTTTTGCAGAGATGAGGTTTTGCAGCCGTGTGAGCATGCCCCTGCTGCGTGGCCATCCCACGTGTGGAGCATCAAGCCCCTGAGCAGACACACCCAGGGTATTAATAGCTGGGAGATGGCACTGCTCAGCTACATGACTGCCCCGCTGGGCTCTGCATGGACCTTTCTTCATCTGCATGGAGCCAACCCCTCCCTTATCCCTCTGATTTAATCCTTTTAAAATTTGTTTTCCATCGCTCGCACTGTGAAAGCTCATTTGCAACCTCACACCAGTCCCTGCTCCCCCATCCTGTGGTGGCACAGTGACATTTAGAAGCCGTTAGAGGAGCCTCCATGGGATGCAGCATTAGGGCACGAGGAGCATCCTGAGCCCACTGCTGCTTATCCTGTGCAGTAACACTGGGGCTGCTGTGCTGCCAGAACTCCTGCTGTGCCTCACGCAGTTCGATAGGAGCAGAAATGCTCACTGTCCTGAGCTGCAGGTGAAAATGATATCAGTGGGTCCTTTGCCACACAGAGCTTTCCCCAGACACCATTTCAGCTGTTGTCAGAGACTGGGTACAGCTCAGTGCTGGTGACTGCGAGGCTCAGGTGGCCTTCTCCCTCGGCTGGATGTTTGACTCCAGAATTGCCCCAAATTAGAAGGAAATGGTTGGAAAACAAGCCAGCAGCATTGCAGGCTGCATGGGCTTGAGATGGGTCTGCAGCACTGGAGTGTGAGGCAGGAGGCTTTGTTTGCAGGCTCAGGGCAGCTTCACAGAAGGAGGAAAAAAGTTCTGGCTTGAAAGAAGCTGTCTTTCTTCCTTTCAGGGTCTGCTTGCCTGCTTTAACGTGTGAGGGCATTTAGCCAGGCTGTTTTATGGTGTGCGTGATTCAAATTCACACTTCTGTGAAGCTCGTCTCCTCCCTGTCTTTTTTGCAGTCCATCTGGCTCGCTGATGGCACGTCACTCTGCATGCAGTCACCCAGCACTGACCCGGGGCTCTATTGCCACCAGACTGGGGGGCTCTGTGGGCTCATGTCCTTTGGATCCATTCCTTGGGTTGGATTTGGGTCTTTCCTGGTACAGAGGGCACTGGGGATCGGAGAACTGGAGGAGCAGCGAAATCCTCCCAGCGAGGAGGGGGTGAATTGATGCCCTCCATTCAGGAAGGCTTTCAGAGGACTTTGTTTCCTCGAGTTCAATGGGATCTAAACAAGAGGTTAATTACTTTGCTGAATTAGGGATGTTTTCCTGAATTGCAGATGAATGGGAAGGATAATAAGTCAAGTCCACTTAAAAGTCTTTGTCTTTTGTTTAGTTTTAGTGCTTGTCAAACTCCAATGACTTTTTGGCACTTTGAAGAAAGGACATCTTTGTTAAATATTCAACAGTCCATTCATTAAGGTTTGAGTGCTGACTATAAACATCATGTGAGACACCCAATAGATCTGCAGCAGGCTCTAGGGAGAGCAGGCTCGGTGTTCCCCATACATCCCAGGTCAAAAAGTGAGCAGAGAAACCCCTTTTGTGCCTTCTCACTGCAGTCCCTTCTCCTCTTCAAAAGAAAGGCAACCCTGAGGGTTTTCTGCAGGCATTGTAAAGAGGCAAAAAAAGAAAAATGTGACTTAAGACAATAAATTCTTTGCCAGTGCAGTAGTTTTTTGTTAATAGGGTGATATATGGACATGGCTTAGTGGGCAATATCGGTGGTAGGAGGACGGTTGGACTGGATGGTCTTAGAGGTCTTTTCCAGCTGTAATGATTCTATGATTCTGGAGGGAGACTCTCAGATTTACTTCCTTGCAGTGGAGGATGAGTAGACAGTCACCTGTGTCCCTCGCTTTGTGCTACTGAATTTCACATTCCAAGCAGCCTCTGCCCATTCTTTCCCAAGAAAATAGCCCAAGAGCTGCTTCTTCCCTTTAAATATAAAAATAGGAAGAACCCTCATCTCCTTTCCACAAGCATATGAGTTTGTTGTCTCAGCACTTTAAATTAAGCCTCACGCCTCAATTATCTCCCTTAGCCTTTAACAAAAGCCCCACGTGGCCGTGAGCAGCTGTGTCAACTCCGGGTCTCCCTTTTGGCTCCTTCCTCGCAATCCCCCTGGCATGTGTCACCCACGCGTCAGCTGTGGCCCCCTCTGTCACCCTGCTGTCACCTCTGTGTGCAGATGGGGGTCAGGACCTTTGCCCAACACTGTGGGCTGCACACAGTGATTTCTCCTGTCCCTGTCCCCACGATAAAGTGCCATAGCCCTGCGAAGCATCCTGCCCACCACCGCCAATGGGAGGAACGTGTTCGTGATACCCGACAGCCCCGTGGGTGCCATGGGGTGGATGTGAGCAGGGCAGGCGAGACCTGGCAGATTGGTGCTTTCTAGGTGTTTTTAGATGTTGCTTTATTCCCAACTCTCTGGTTCTTTTTGCTGAATTCCAGGCAGGGCGAATCCAGGTGTGCAGTGGGGGGGGAGGGAGGAGGGAACAGGAGGATAGATGCGGAAAGAACAAAAGGAGATCCGGAATCAGAGGGCAAGCGTTGCCATCAAGTTGTGCTGTTGTGTGGCTGACAGTATTTTACCAAGCCTAGGGTGTATTTATAGAGGAACATAAATCATGCACACATGCCCTGCTCGAGCACCGTGCACCTCCAGTGTGTGTATCTCTAATTAAGCAACCGTGGAGAGGGAAACGGGACCAGAGCCCACAACCCCAGAACCGTTCGCCAACAAAGCCGTGCGCTCTGTCCTAGCGCTGCCTGCATTTATCTTTCCTGCAGCAGTGTTTAAAGTGAAAAGGGAGTATCAGGAGAGTTTGATAGGATCCAATTAAATTCCAGCAGATAAAATAATGATGAATTGCAGTTGAGCCCTGGCGAGACACGATGTACATTACTGCCGTCCCCGTAGTGAGGGGAAGAAGTTGAGGTCATCAACTACAGAAAAATAGGACACAGCTGCAGCCGAGCGGCTCCTCCAGAAACACAGCCCAGGGGGATGGTGCTGGAGAGAGGGAGGGGAGGGTCCTGTAGGGCAGAGGGAGGTTGGGATGCGTGGGTTTGCTCAGGGTGGGCAGGGAAGTGACCCCTGCAGTGCCTTTCTTGGCAATCTATGCCGGCTCAAGGGTGGGCAGGGGGCTTCCCAGGAGCAAATGTGGGAGCTGCAGGGGTAGAGAAGTGGGCAGGCCCTGCCTGGTGTGGGCATGGGATGCAGAGCTGCGTAGGGTTGTTGGCTGTTTCTTGGGAGGATGCCTGAGATGCTCCACAGAAAGGCTTGGTGAGGAGTCCTCTGGCCTGAGTCACTTCCCTACAGCAGGAGACCTTGCTGGGAAGAGCTGCATCCAGGCTTGTTTTTTGGGCTCCTGCAGAGAGGCACCAGAGCACTGATCTGGGCAAGCTGAGGAGCCAAGGAGCTCCATCCCACCACTGACTCACTTCGTGACATGTATTCTCCTGTCTCTTCTGCAGGCACAGTAGCACGTGAGCATGCTTTTCCCTTTCAGCATCCACTGTTTGCTCTCTGGGCAGTGCCTGTTTATTGCTTGCAAAGCACAGTAACTCAACTTGGGGCTGGCAGCATGTCTGTGGAGCAGAACGCAGTGTGGCTGTGAGGCTGCCAGGTGCCACCAGCCCTGGCCTCCTGCACGCAGCTCATTGCGGATTGCTGATGGCCACAGCCATTGCTTACCCAGGAAGTTAATAACTGTTAAGTGCTTAATGGATGTTTGGAAATGTGTTAGCTGGAGGCGAGGAGGAGCCAATGGGGCAGTGCCTGCACAGAGCTTACTTTGTACAGCAAAGGGTACCTGGGACGCCAGGAGGGTGCTGGAGCTCTGGAATGACCTCTTGCCAAGTGTGAATGCAAACATTCCAGTGCATAAGAAGGATAACATGCTTATGGGTGTGAAGAGGCACGGGAGTGAGAGCAGGAGGGCAGTTTTGTCCATGCCATCAGCATGTGACCTTAGCTTTGGCTGTTAACCATTCTTTTGCTCCCTACCCCAGGATTAGGGAGGCTGCTTTGTGCCCTGTGTGACTTTCTGAAGCTTCATCGGTCCTTTTGAAGTAACCCCTATGTGGGTCTGTAGGGAGTGAGTGCTGGGGAGTTGGGGTGGATACCATGTGTGCTGCTCCAACTGCGGCGTGCTCAGCATGGTGGTGTCTTTACTGAGACCGATGGCATCTCTTGTGCGTGTTCCTTCTTTGCAGACCTGTCTCTGTTTCAGGGCTGGTGCACAAAGAGTTAACTCTCTCCCTCCCTCTCCTCCTATTCTTCTTCCTCCACCCTCCTACCCACCTCCCAGAAGAACTAATTTCCAAAAGCAGCCGGGGCAGAGAGATGCAAATAAGTGTTTTGGACAGCTGCAGGCTGGATGCCTTCCCGAGATGCCAGGGCCCCAAATGAGACATGTCAGAGTACAAATTGAAAATGCCAATTTCACTTACACTGCCACGTGGCTCGTCACAGCAAAACTCCGCTCCAGTGCCGCTGTGGCCCTCCCTGGCACGTGCTGTGTCATGCTGCAGGGGACGGTCCCATTGCTGCTGTGGGTCCAGCTGCTGGCCTCAGTCCTGCCTGGGATGTATGGCTGGTTGAGAGTGTGGGTGAAGGATGAAGGAAGGTGGAGGGATGTGGGCTCACGGCCCTGTTCTGGCTCCTTTTTCCTAAGCTTGGAGATGGAGTGTTGCTGAGATATTCTGTGATTCCATGGCTGATTTGGGAACTGATGGGGCTGCCCTGCAGGGAGGTAGTGGTGGACTTAGGAAAGGGATGAGATTGCAGTTGGGTGTTTCGTGCCTTAAAAGTACTGTGTACATCTGATCAGTGGCAGCTGTGGCTACCCAGGAGTGAATTTTTGGGCACTTCCAGTCTGGCCCCTGGCTGAAGGACCATTAGCCAAAAGCAGTGGATCATAGAATTATTCAGGTTGGAAAAGAGCTCTAAGATCATCTAGTCCAGCCATCCGTCTACCAGTATTGTTCACTATGTCCCTAAGTACCACATCTCCATGTTCCTTGAATACCTGCAAGGATGTGTAACCTGAAACAAGAGGTGGCTTCTTGGTTGTACCTTGTGGGGTCAGAGGGGCTGAGGGGTGGGTGTGTTACTGTAGCCACATCTGTGGGCACCGTATCCCCATGGCTGGTCAAGGCTCCAGACTTAGGGATGCTACTGAGGCCCAGGAGGCTGCTTGCCAACATGAGGAAAGCCAGAATTACAGAGAATGGAGGTGGGTGAGGCTGTGCTGGAGGTGGTGTGGCCGTGTCCAGCCTGCAGCTTGGGTAAGCTGCTGCCCAAGCATCCACAGCTCCTAACAAACTCCAGCAAGCCATGAATCATTCATTTAATCTCTCCTGACACGCCTGTCATTTTCTCCGGAGAGGAGCGGGGAATCTCTTGCCGAAGGAGGTCATTAGCTGTCAGGGACGGTTCCGACTGCCTTCCTGTCTCCGTATCGATTAAAGCTCTCCGCCTGCATGCCGGGGCTGTGCGGGGAATATTGATGGGGCTGCCGGGGCTGCGACTCAGGTTTCGAAGCAAGGGAGAGCGAGGTTGGGTGGGAGGAGGCACCGAGCTGGGAGCTGAGCTCTGTGCAGCAGCAGGGATCCAGCTTCATCCCTGTGCTAGGCTGGCACGACTGGTCCTCGAATGTGGGGAAGGGTGCAACCCCCCTGTTCCTGGTGTGGAGAGAGGGGTGTGTTTGTTTCAGATGCTATCTATTTCAGCCTCTTCAGCAGCAGCTTCAGACCTTTGGGTTAATGGGTTTTTTGGTCTTTTTAGAAACCCTTTATGTTGTTTATTTTTATGCCAGTCTTGCCTACTGGTTTGCCTATGCTGTGTCTGCTTTTTTGCCCGAATTATCAGACCTGTCCCTTTGTGGCCAGACCAGTTGCTTGCAGTCTCCATCCCTCTCTTTTTGGCTGACAGGGGACAGCCCCCTGGCAGTGCCCTACACCTCCCCACGTGTATCCCTAATGGCCTCCTTCTGTCCCCTCCTGCAGTACTTCTACGAAGGGAATGACATCAGCGATCTGCCGGTCAACTTATCCGTGGTCTGGAATGGAAACTTTGTCATCGACAACCCCCAGAACATCCAGGGTAAGCGAGGGTTAGGGCTGGGTGGGAAGTCAGCCCTGTGCACCCCCAGCCTCCCCATCTCCTCTGAGCGAGGATGGAGCCCAGTGACATCTCAGGACTGTGGGGCTGCACTGACCCCGCTCTCCACTTGCTGTTGCAGCCCACCTGTACAAGTGCTCAGCCCTGCGGGAGAGCTGTGGGCTGTGCCTGAAGGCTGACCCACGCTTTGAGTGTGGCTGGTGCGTGTCGGAGAAGCGCTGCACTCTGCGGCAGCACTGCCTGGCCTACGAGAGCAGCTGGATGCACGCCGGCAGTGGTAACAGCCGCTGCACCGACCCCAAGATCACCAAGGTAGGGGGTGTGTGGGTCTGGGATGGGAGGGGTGCACTAAATATAGTCCGTGCTTTGGGCTGAGCGTTTCTTTTCACTGTTATGCCTTGCAAGACTAAAATCCTCCTTCTGCAGCCCTGGTGCTTTTGGCTTTCTGTCCCGTGTCTGAGATTCCTGCTGTTCATCTGAGCATCCCGGGAAAGCCACAGATCTGGGCTGCTCCTCCCCTGGTTGCACGGGCCGGTAGTTCATCATCCCCATCTCTGACAGCTTTTATGACCTTCCTTTCATAAGATTGCCCACATTAATGTTAACGTGTCTGTCGGCTGGGCTCGAGGTGCTTTAGGAGGGATTGATGCGTAATTCCATGCGATCTGTTCTGTTTACCCACGGCTCGCAGGGCAAGCAGGCATCGCTGGTGTTAATTACTGGAGTCTTAGCGTTGTATCTGATCTGTTTGGGTTTCTATGTGTTATCTGATGAAAGCTGGAAATCAGAGCCTTGCCTTTCCCACTGCCCCCACACCCATGTCCCATGTGCATCCCTTCCCTGCAGGGGCAGGGTCGAGCCCCAGAGCCTGCATTGAGCCTGAGCCAGCCTGGTGCTGACTTGTAGCAATCAGACTGGGGGCTCCTTATTGCTGCTGATGGCAGTAGTGGTAGTGTGGTCCCTGTGACAGCTCCTGCCTTGGGATGGCACTGAGCACCCATGAAGGCAATGAGGGCCACGACTCACTAGCATCCATGTGCACACTACAGCGGATGGTGTCTGGCTCGCAGCAGGCTCTCCATCGTTATGCAGTTTGGCAGTAATTGCAGATGCAGCATAAGCGGATCTGTTAGCAGGTGGGCTTGACCTTGGTGCTGCTCTGTGCCCTGGGGCCGACATGAGCAGGCAGTTGCTGCAGATTGTGGAGGTGGTGCTCCTCCAGCAGCTGCTGCTGCTTTCCACAGCACCAGTCCTGCATCCAGGCTTGTGGGCATAAAGAGTGAGTTGGGAGGAAAAGAGGAGCCCCTTGCTGAGGTTTGAGAAGGATGCGGAGCCTCTTCCCAGCCCAGCAAGCTGGAGATTAGGTGTGTTTGTGAGTGGTGAAGCTGGGCTGGGAGGTGACCCCAATTCTTTACCATTGCTCAGTGGTAGGGAACAAGCAGCTCTGCAAACTTACATGGGTCCTGCCGGGTGCTGGCCATGACCCTCAGAGTGACATTCCTTTCCCTGGTTGTCCCCTTCCTGTGCTGCAGTTGCTTATGCCCACCGAAGCCATTTACCTGTTGGGTTAAAAGGACCCTGTGAAACCAATTAGCAGAAGAGTGGTGTTTGCTGGGGCTGGGACTTTGGAGCGGGAGGTTTGTGGGCATTGCTCTGCCCTCCTTACCAGTCCCTGCTCCCATGCGGCTTGTTTAGCTGTGACCTTTCTGTGCTGCACCGTGAACGGAGTCACCTCTTTCCCGGGCTCGTTTCTCCCTGAGCACATGGCCCTTGTCAGGTTTGCAGAGAGGAGGAGGAATCTAACATGCTGGAGCAGCTTTTAACGCTCATCTAAAAATACCAAACAAACAGCTGCTTATTGCCAGCCCCCCCAAGCAGAGCTTGATGCGTGGAGAAGAGCAGTCATGATCACTTGTTGCAGCTCTGTAGTGAGCCCTGATCCTGGAACTGTGCTGACTTCATGCAAATAGCAGTGCCCAGAGCCTGGAAGGGTTTTGCCACTGTGTAAAGCGGGAGCTGTGGCTTGCTGTGAGCTTTGGGGTGCTGGTGGAGCCCCACCACTGCACTGGGACACATCCCCTGTCCTAGTGCAGGCATGCAGCCCTGCCATTTGTTCTACTTAGTGCTGCAGGTGTGCACTGCTGTCAGATTGCCCCTAATCACCTCATTGGAGGCATCCGGTGGGCCTGCACCTCTTTGTTCATTTGTCATTCCAACACCTTCTGTCAGGCCACACCTGTCCGCTTTATTGGGAATCATGCTGGTAAATGAGGCACGGCACGAGGCAGAGGCTCTCCAGCAGCCAGCCAGCTTGGCAGGGGTTTGGATGGCAGGAAGATGAGCGGGACCCATATTCCCCCTGTTCCCCTCTGCCTGCTGTGTTGGTGGTGAGAACTTGGTGGGGATAGTTCCTCACGTGAGAACAGATTGGGTGTGGGGACCTTATCCCTTGGTATTTGAGACCTTCCCAAAGGCAAACTCATGTGTTTCTGTGGTTGGTTGGGTCTGCCTTGTCTCCCTCCTTTCTGTGTCCTCATCTCCTGTGTATCACCCGTCTCCATCTGCAGCAGGGTGTCCATGAAGCAGCCCGCTGCTTGCACACATCTGGCACCTCCAGACTCATTCCTCAGGGGCCATGTGGACACTGCAGGCGTTCGGGAAGCCTGTCTTGCTTCGTGCTCTGTGCACATGCTCTGGCATTTGTCACAGCTGATCTGCTCCTCGGCAGGGAGCAGTGCCCATCCTGGTGCTATGCAGGCTGCAGCCAGCGGAGCGAGGCATCCCCTGCAGCCTGATGGCTCCAGTCCCTTGGCTGATGTGCTGTGCTGTTCCTTAGCTGTCACCTGAGACCGGCCCCAGGCAAGGAGGGACACGTCTGACCATCACGGGGGAGAACCTGGGCCTCAAGTTTGAAGACGTGCGCTGGGGTGTTCGAGTGGGCAAAGTGATGTGCATCCCTATCGAGAGCGAGTACATCAGCGCTGAGCAGTGAGTGTGGGAAAGGGGGGATCATCTTGGTGCATGAGGGCAGGGGGGTCAGAGCTCAAACACTGTCTATGCCTGCAGACGGACGTGAGGGAGCAAAGTCCAGGCTGGCAATGGTTGCAGTGGTGAGGGCTGGAGCTTCTTCCCTGTGTCTTTCAGGATTGTGTGTGAAATTGGAGATGCCAGCCCAAGCAAGGTCCACGATGCACGGGTTGAAGTGTGCATCCGGGACTGCTCCCCCAACTACAGGGCCACCTCGCCCAAGAGCTTCACCTTCGTGGTAGGCCCTGGTGTCACCCGTGCACTGGGAACAGGGCTGGTATCACATGTGGGTGGGGCCATGGGAGGAAGGTGACTGTGGGTGTCTTGCTGCCATAGGCAGCCCCCCGTGCAATACCCTGTCTCTCTCCCCCCTCCCCATCTCTCATCGTCCACTCATGGACGCTTGGGACCCAGGTCCCATCCTGGCCCATCACATGCTGAGGCTGTTCTCCTTTGGCAGACACCCACTTTCTCCCGAGTGACCCCTGCCCGCGGCCCTCTCTCCGGTGGCACCTGGATTGCCATTGAAGGAAGCCACCTGAATGCTGGCAGCAACGTCACCGTCACCATCGGGGGACGGCCCTGTGCCTTTTCAGGGTGAGGGCATGGGGCACATGGGTGGGGGAATGGAGGTGGGGGCACCTCTGGAGGCAGTGGAACCCCCAAATAGAGCAGACCCCGTTGAGCCAAATCCTGCAGGCACCTGGAGAAGTGTCCCCCCTGAAACCAATTTGTGTCAGAGGCTCCAGGAAGAGCCCAAAGCGCGGGGATTTTTCTCTAAAAGCATAGAGCCCTGAGGCATGAAGTGGATAATTTTTAGATTAGGGATGATAATGGAGCGGCTCTTTAAATATTTTCCTGCGGTAATTACTGGTTATCAGCTCTAATCGCTGCTGTTTGCAGCAGCCACGCAATGGGAACGCTCAGGAGCAGCTCAGCCTTTCCCGACTGCCTTTTGTTTCATTTCTTGAGTTTCTTTTTCTCTCCCTTTCCCACTCGGCAGTTTCACAAGGAGTAGGGGTGCCATTACCTCCCTCCTCTCTGTTCCCTGACTGTCCTGTTTCTGCCTCAGGAGAAGTGCCCGTGAGATCCGCTGCAGGACCCCCCCTGGCCATGCTCCTGGTGGGTCCCCCATCCTCATCAGCATCAACCGGGCAGAGCTGAGCAACCCGGAGGTGAAGTACAACTACACAGAGGACCCTACTATCCAAAAGATTGATCCTGAGTGGAGCATCAACAGGTAGGTGAAGGACTGCTCACAGGGATGCAGCAGGGCTCTGCTGGACACAGATCCCCCATCCCAATATGTGTTCCTCAGTGCTGCTGCAATATCCCCTGGGCCCTGCTCCAGAGAGGAGCATGAGGAATGGCTTGGCACTGGGTCCCTGCTAACTCCTGGCCTGCAGTGCTCAGCCTGGCGGGGGGCAGGAGTGAAGAGAGCTTTGGATCTGCTTAATTTCAGCTTGACATTTGGCAGCAGCGAATAAAATTAAAATATTTCCCATTGGGGGATTTTGAAAATGTTTGCATATTTTTTCTAAAAGGTTTGAATTGGCTGGAGAGGAGACGAAGGAATCCATTAAGTGCTTGTGCTGAGGGAAACCTTCCCCAGGGTGCCAATGAGGAGTGAGCTCCCCAGGGGCATGGCCGACCTCTTTGGGGTTTTTAACACAAAGTGGTAGAGAAAGCCCCACAGGGACCAGCCTGACTTGGCACCTGCTGCTTGTCACCTCCCTCTGCCATGGAGGAAGGGGGTAGCAGAGAGGACCTCCTGTTGGTGATGCTTTCCCATCACTTGTTCCTTTATTTGGAGTTGTGTTCAGACTCCAAGCCCTGCGCTCCATGCATACACAGGGTGGGATTTTAGGGCTATTAGGCATCTGAGATGATTTGGTGCTGGTCCTGCTGTCCGTGGTGACATGGCTAGAGAATGGGTCCCTGAGGCACCTGGGCTGGGGCAGGTGAGCCTCTGTCTGGTGAGGATGGGGCCTGCTGATTGCCCAGAAGTGGAGACCTCGGGTCACAGCTGTTTCTTCCAACCTGTCATTTATCTGTCTCTAGTGGTGGGACACTGCTGACTGTGACTGGCACCAACCTGGCCACCATCAAAGAGCCCAAGATCCGAGCCAAGTACTGCAGCTCTGAAAGGGAGAATGTAAGTGATGCTGGCTGATGGGGAGGGCTGAGATCAGGGCTAGAGCACAGAGAGAGTAATCTCTCTTCAACATACAGCAGAAAGCACATCCCTCCCTGGGATCCAAACATGATACCATGGAGGTGGTGGTGTCCAGGGGCTGCACCCAGAAGAGGGGCACCGGGGCAGTGCTATCCCTGCCCAGCACTGCTAGGGTGAGATCTGAGCATGCAAAAATTATGGGAGGTCTTTGGGATGTCTGTAGGGCAGAAAGACCCCATCCCCAGCAAGCTGTCCCACCTACCACCATCACATATCTGTAAAATGCAGCCACCAGGGTGTTACATAGCATCTGTTGATATTATGACATAGATTCCAAGTCTAAATCCTGTGTCCAGAGCTTGTAGGAGTTCCCTATAAGGTCAGACCCTGCCCTCACTGCTGGGAGCCAGGTCTGACCCCAACCCATGCCCCCACAGAACTGCACAGTGTACAATGACACCACCATGGTGTGCTATGCACCCTCCATTGACAACCCCGAGCGGAGCCCTCCTGAGGTCGGTGACCGGCCGGACGAGATCGGGTTCATCATGGATAATGTCCAGGCCTTGCTGATCATCAACACCACCAACTTTGTATACTACCCAGACCCCGTCTTTGAGCCGCTCAGCCCCACGGGGATGCTAGAGCTGAAGCCCAGCTCTCCCCTCATCCTCAAGGTAAGGCTGTGTGCACCCAGGGCATGGTTCTCGTGGGGCAGATTTGCTCTGTGATAAGGCTTCCGAGCGTTCCCTGTTGTGCTGGAGCTGACTGCTTTGTTCTTTGATCCCTCAAAGGGCAGAAACCTGCTCCCTCCGGCTGCAGGGAACTCCCGCCTGAACTACACAGTGCTGATTGGGGACACTCCCTGCACTCTGACTGTGTCTGAGACCCAACTGCTCTGTGAGTCTCCTAACCTCACCGGCCAGCATAAAGTCACGGTAAGCACCGAGCCCCCTGTGCAGGAGGTAAGGAGGAGGAAACATGGGGCTAACGTGGGGCTTCATATCAGAGATGCAGGCAGGAAAGTAGCTGGTGTTAGGGGCACTTGGAGCCTTTGTGTCTCATGGTCCCTGGCTGGGTGTCATAGAGATATAATCTTCATGCCAGCACTGACCCTACTGTGTGTGCTCATCCTCAGACAAGGATGGATAGCGCACTTGCAGGAACAGTCCTTGGGAGCCTTTTCCCTACGCTCCATGCATCGCTCTCCCTAATTGTGTGCTTGGTGTAGGACCAAATGTTTGTCCTTTTCCTGGCACGTTCAACTGGCTGTTCCTGCACCCTGCCAAGAGTTGCTGGGTGCCAGGGCACAGCTGGAGCTGAGCACAGGGGGGTTCCTACCTCATCCGTGGTCCCCACTCGCACTGCAAGCCATGCTCCGTGTGCATCAGCTTGTTGCACAGCAGTGCTCATGCTCCTGGGCTGCACGGGCTCGCCTGCTTGAAAGGGACCTGACACACTCCCCCCGGGCTCCCCATCTATCAGGGAACTCGCTTCACATCCCATCTGTTATTGTAATGCTGTCTGAATGAGACATCAAACTCCCTGCCTGCTCCGTGTGCACGTTGGCAGCGTGTCCTGCATCCCATTACCATGCACTGTGCGCTGCTCCGGACAAGCTCCTGGGGCACTGGGGGATGCTCTGTGTTTCCCCACATCCCGTTGTTCCCAGTGTGGTGGGAAGGCACGATGCCCCCTTATCGCCTGACCCTTTGCTTTTTCTTTCCCTGCATGCAGATTAAGGCTGGAGGGTTTGAGTTCTCCCCAGGCACGCTGCAGATCTACTCGGACAGCTTGCTCACCCTGCCTGCCATCATTGGGATTGGTGGTGGTGGTGGCTTGCTGCTGCTCATCATCATCATCGTCCTCATCGCCTACAAGCGCAAGTCCCGCGATGCTGACCGCACCCTGAAACGCCTCCAGCTGCAGATGGACAACCTGGAGTCCCGGGTGGCCCTGGAGTGCAAAGAGGGTGAGCAGTCCTGGCCCCCAGCTTTGTGTTGGGTCTGGGTTTCATATCAGGCACCGTGAGACACTTCTGTCCTTTACTAACCTCAGTGCGTGGGGTCAGGATTCAGCCCTCTGTCTCCCACCTCTCCCACCTCCATCCTCCTCTTTCTCCCTGTGGCATCCCGTAGACTCTCACTCTGACCTGGATGTCTCTGTGCCACCCTCATGCTCTGGGTACTCCCAGCCTTTTCTCATTGCCTTTCAGAGAGGGAATGGGACTGAACAAAGCTGCTTTGTCAGAGAAAGGAAAACCATTTTGGGTGGGATTTGGGGATTTTTCCAGTTGAAGAATTCCCCTCTGTTTCTCCGAACGTGAGCAAAGGGAGCAAAGAGGGTATTGAGGGCTGCCTGTGAGCAGGCAATTGGTCTCTCATTATGTGATAGACGGATGCTGTGAAATTGGACAGAATTCCTTGTATGATCCTGCTGATAAAACCTAATTGCCCATTATCCCCCTGAGCTGGCTCCCAAGGCCCCGACCCTGCCAAGCACCGCCACAACCAGCCCCGAGCCTGCGGATGGAGCAGGCACCTACGACGAGATAATAAAAAGGGGAATGCAAGAAAAACCCTTTGCTTCCCCAAATCCCCATCCCTAAACAGGCGTGTGGATGGCAGTGGTGACAGGGAGAGGGGAGGGAGCTGGTGTCTTGTCTTCTACAGCTGGCAGATAAAAGGATCTGCTTTTAATTAAAAGGCACAATCTCTTCCCTGCCTTTTCTCTTTTCTAGTCCCACTAGTTACAGATAAGATAGCACGCCTTTCAAGCTGACGGTTTGTTTTTTCTCATCAGGCTGACGAGCCTGCAGCCCTGTGCTATGCTTTCAGCTCCCTTTAAAGTGCTGTTAATTTGATTTTTCTGAGGGTTTTCTCCCCCTCACTCCCCCAACCCCTTTCCCATCTCTAGGACTCCTCTCCCGTCAGCTTTTCCCTGTAGGTGCAATTAAAGGTTCGGGACCTCCCTGCATTGCTTTCCCTTGGGAATCGGGATGTGCTGGGGTGGGTGTGTTCAGCTCTTCAGTAGTATTTAGGTCAAAACAAAATGAGGACATTCTTGTGGTTTCGGCTAACGTTTCCCCCAGAAGCTCTGGCTTTGTGCAAACCTTGCCTTTCCCAGCTGCCCCTGGGGTCCCATTGAGCAGTGAGTGCTGAGTGAGGGGAATTGCAGCCTCTGGGACCCGCTGGTCCCGTTCCCAGCTCTACCACTTGATTTATTCCAAGAGGATCATCCACACTGTCTGCAGCTCTGTTTCTCCATGTGTAAGATGGGGGCAGAGATAATGTGCAACCCAGTGTGCAGGATGTGGATCCAACTCTGAGCATTGCCCAGAGACCCACCTGTCAGGTGCCATGGAATGTTTTGGGTGGCAGTGCAGCATGTTGGGGGCCATGTTACTGAATTCTGCTTTTTTCCATCCAGCCTTTGCTGAGCTGCAGACGGACATTAACGAACTGACTAATGACCTGGATGGGGCCGGCATCCCGTTCCTGGATTACCGCACTTATGCCATGCGGGTTCTGTTCCCTGGGATAGAAGACCACCCGGTGCTGAAAGAGATGGAGGTGTGGTACTGGGTGTCTGTCTGTCTCTGCAGGGTTTCATGCTGGGGATGCACCTCTGGGCTGGAAGGGAGAAGGAATGTGATGTGGCCATGCTCATCCACCTCCTTGCAGCTTTTGAGCTGTGAGTAGGGAGTTTAGGGGTTCCAGAACAGGCTGCTCTGAGCCTGGGGCTGCGGAGGTGCTCTGGAGGCATTCAAGGCCAGGCTGGATGTGGCTCTGGTCTAGTGGTTAGCAGGGTTGAAACTAGATGATCATTGTGGTCCTTTTCAGCCTAGGCCATTCTATGATCCTCAGGCAGACAGGGAAGGATGCAGGTTGGTGAGGGTGGGCAGAACTATGCTGTTTTCATAGCTGAGTTATGCCAGAAGTCAGGAGTGATTCCAACCCTTCTGCAATAGAACAGATAAACAGCAAATAGTGAAGAGGGTGAAGTGTTTTGGGGCTGTGTGGGCTAGGAATAATAAAGGATTGCTGCTGCTTCTGTGCTTGCAAGGTTGGTGGTTGCACTGCAGGAGGGATGGTGGAAACTTCAGGGATGTGAGCATGGGCTGAGTGGTTGCTGCTCTCTCTGACATTAATATCAATATTTATATTAGTATCATTGCTGCTGTCATTTTCTACAGCACTTGCTTTATTCAGTTGGATTTGTTTGATGCCTGCAAGGCTGCTCTTTGCTAGCAGACTTGTCTAACATGTCCTGTGTCTGTGGCTCTGCTTCCCAGTACAGAGCCCAACCTGGGCATCCTGCTCCCCAGAACAGCACCCTTTTCTTTCTCAGCTTCCCCACACCTGCCTCATTTGGGGCATGCAATGCAGGGCTGCTGGGGCTGCTCTCGGCTGGGGAAATGAGGTGGGTGAACCTCGGTTTCCCCTTGCTTCTGATCTGGTGTGGTAATTAGTGTTGGTATGGGAGAAGCACTCAGCTCTGATGCAGGATGCACAGTTGTTAGTTACAACCTGAGCCCTTACCAATTGCAAGCACACGTGCTGGTGTTGTCAGGCAGCATAGCCTCAACGAGGGGAGCTGGCTCTGTGCCTGCTCCATAATCCCAGCTCCGGAGGCAGCAGGGTCCCTGTTTCCGTGGATTTCCCCATGCAGCTCAGGTTTCCCAGATGCTCAGAGCTGTTGCTGGCTATGGGGCCGGGCAGCAGCCCTCCCCTGGGCACAGCCCTTCCTGTCCCTGCAGAAGCCTGGCTCAACTCTTTTCTGCTCCTGCTCCTAAGGGTATTCCTTAAGATTTTTCCTCGAGGCAGTGATGCAGAGCTGCTGGAACAGGTGTGTGGATGGGGCACCTTGGAGTGGATGAGAGCAGAAAGCTTTCACAGCAGCATCTGTTAGATGTCCTCTCCAAAGGGGAGAGGGGTGGAAACGATATCAAACTGGAGCTCTGGAGAGGAAATTGCAGAGGAGTAATTGTGAATTATCCAGGGAGACTCAGCAGGAGTTCATCCACTCCCAGCTCCTAATTCAAAACATCCCACCAGAAAGAGCATGCAGGCTTAGCCTTGCCTGGGGTAGAAAGGGTTAAAATTGCAAGGAAGCAAAAAAAAAAAAAAAAAAAAAAAGCACCCGCCACCAAAAAACCCCAAAAGAGATTAAATAAAGCAACTACAGTTGTGCAAGTTTCATATAATTGAATCAGGTTTGCTTTTATTTGTCTCTTTGCTCAGAGTGTAACATTAGTTACTGCGGATGATGGGAGGGAAGCGGCGCTCGCTTGCGCACCCGCTAATCCACAGCCAAGCATTACACTGTCATTACCAGCTCCCTTTCTCTTTACGTTTGTTGGAGGGAGGTTTGTTGCTTTGTGTGAGTTTAAGCCTGATTAAATATTTAATTCGGTATTGTTCATTTATTTTTGCTAATGATCAGCGAGTTAAACACAGCAGTGCAGGCAGGCAGCAGGGCGCTGTGTGTAGGGCTGTGCGCAGTGGGCACTGCCATCCTCTGGTGCCCTTTCCAAACCTTATATGATGGCTGCTGTTGGGCAGGACCCATCCCCCAGCTGGCTGAATGCCAGTTAAATGCTGTCCCTGACTGTAGAGATGTGGCACTGAGGGACGTGGTCCGTGGGCATGGTGGGGTTGAGTTGATGGTTGAACTTGGTGATATTAGTGGCCTTCTACTACCTTAATGATGCTGTAAGTTGACATGATGGTGATAGGTTGGACTTGGATGATCTTGGAGGTCTTTTCCAACCTTAATGATTCTATGAGGAAGGATTCCTGAGAACAGGGACAGAAAGGTTTGTCACTTCCCCAGCTCCATGCTGGGATGTCCTGGGACAGGTGTTCCCTCTCTCCTGCATGGCGAGGAGACACGCAGGGCTCATGTGACACACATAACAAGGAAATGGGATAATTCTTTTCCTGTGGGAAGCATCAGCAGTTTTGGAGGGGGAAGGCACAAGCATAAGGAGCTTCACTGAACCAAAAAGTGACGCTCCAAAGTTTTGATTGAAGTGAAATGATTTGATGTGTCAAAACGCTCTCCTTCATTTTGAGTTGATGTTTCGAAATGAAGAGTCTTGTTTTGTCTCCAAATATCGACACAAAATGAAATTTCTCACTTATTCTCCCAATCAGGAAGACAAGAGAAAAAAAAAATCATTAAAATTGATGTTGTACCAGAGAGAGGCTTTTATTCAGAGGAAACCATCTTTTCTAAGAGGAGGATGTTGTGTGTAAAAATGCTCATTTCTGGTAAGAAATATGGTCGGTGCTGAGCAGAGCAGCGCTAATGAAGGCAATGGGGAGATGAAAGGAACCCAGCCCATTCCCAGCTGGACATGGCTGAGAAACAGTTTCAGAAGCAAAAGGGAATATTTCAGATTGTGTCTGGAGAGGGGTAGACTCAGGTTTCCACTATTTACTCCTGTCCGAAATATATTCTCCAAAACCTAGCAGCTTTACTGACTGCAGAGCTTGGTATCGAGGCTTTATTTGCTTTCTGGATATTGGAAAGGGGCAGGCACTCCTTCAGTGGGATACCCACACCATGCAATTGAGCTTCTTGATAGCTGACGTTGAAATTTTGATGCTTGGGAACAAAGAGAATGTAAGTGAGGGATGTGCATATATGTCTGTGCATACATGTTTGAAGTTGATGAATGCACTGATGCCCCAAGACTGTGCTAATTTGATGCGCAGCCCCCTGATTTCTCATTGCCCTCCTACTCGCGCCCATCTCCCAGCTTTGCTCTATCCCTGCAGGTCCAGGCAAATGTGGAGAAGTCACTGACCCTCTTTGGGCAGCTCCTGAACAAGAAGCACTTCCTGCTGACCTTCATCCGCACGCTGGAGGCTCAGCGGAGCTTTTCCATGCGAGACCGCGGCAATGTGGCCTCGCTTATCATGACAGCACTGCAGGGTGAGATGGAGTATGCCACGGGTGTTCTGAAGCAGCTTCTCTCCGACCTCATCGAGAAGAATCTGGAGAGTAAGAACCATCCCAAGCTGCTCCTGCGGAGGTGAGTGGCCATTTAAAGGGCTGGAGTTGTGCGGTGATGTCCCGGTGTGCCAGCAGCCAACAAGAGCCCTTCTTTCCTCACCTCCCCTTTAGGGGCTTTGCCCACCTTGCCAGGCTTGGCAGGGTTTTTCAAGCAGATCTCTGCAAGCCAGGAGTCTCACCTGGGGACCGGGTAGGGCGTGAGCAGGAGGCAGCATGCCAAGCCCCACCGTGAGTCTGCCTGGGCCATCAATATTTAATGATAGCTTTGAGCTCTCCTTCATCACGGGCTGATGAATATTGAAAGATGCACCAAGTGCTGAACAAAAACAATTAATAAGCTCCACCAGCCCAGCCTGAGGCCCTCCGTGCAATCCCTTCACATGCTGTGCCTGTACCAGCCCACTGTAGGGATGAAGCAGCATCCCTCCAGTAGGGATGGCTGCAGTGTTGGCATGTCACCAGAAAGGCATGAGGATGCCAGAGCATCTTTCAGACATCATCTGATGTTTTTGGCATGGCCAGACTGGACAGAGCCCATTGGGCTTTGTGTGCCTGGCCATGGGGAGATGCCTGGAGCATGTACAGCTGCAAGCTGGTCCCTGGCTGTGTTCCCTTGGCTGGTCTCTGTCTCATTTATCACCTGCGTCCCAAAGGAGCCCGTGGTTTCTCACAGCACCTCAAATGGAATAATGTGCCAGAGGGTGCGGTGCAGATATGCAGCTGGCAAGGATAGGACCATGGGGGGGTCAACCCATGTGTCCCTGACCTGAGTGCATCCCTAGGCTCTTCCCCTTTTGCTGTCCCTCCACAGCAACAGGCTTCACCAAGGCAGGTGAAGCTGTGGGAGGCTTAGGACAGGGATGAGGTTCCCTGTTAGTTCCCTTGTTCTCAAGTAAAATTTAACCAGACTTTGCTCTTCCTTCAGCCATGGCATTTGAGGCTGTGCTTCCTTCCTCCATCTTTTTGATTAGCCGTGCTGTTGGGTGAGAGAATGTACTTACCGCCCAGAGCAACCGGATTACCATTGATCTTACTGGGGAGAGCTGTTATTTATTTATTTTGTGATTGGATAATCTCCCATTGCTGTGGCATCTGGCCCTGTTGTAGATAAAGACAAGCATCTGTTTGGAGCTCAGGCTGTGGCACTGCAGATGGATGTTCGGGGCAGTATGGAGGAGCTGGGCTGGGGCTGAGGAGGATGTCTACTGGTAACACCAGCACATTCTTTCCTTAGCTTTCTCCCTGCATCCCTTTCCTTGTCTCCTTTTTCTCCTCTTAATGAATTAATCTTTGCTGATGGGCTCAGGAAAGCTTTCCTCCTGCGGCCTGAGGTATTACCATCCCCTAATGCCTTAAGGAGGCTCTGCTGTACCACTGAGGACAAAAAGGGATAAACCCCATTAACACCAGAGAAAGGCTTGGAGGGGACAGTACAACCCCAAGTCAGTGTGAATAAACTCCAGGAAAGTGGATTTCCTACCCCAGCCATCTGGCCATGGAGAATGGCTTCTGTCCCATCTGCCCTGCATGGCATTGCCTTTGGGCAGCAGGATCACTTCTGAGCACTCTTGAGATTCAGATTCCTTCTGGTGTTTCCTGGACCAACCTGTGTCTGTTTCCTTGGTGTAACAGGAATGCAGGTCTGTCTGGGAGGTTATTAGTATTGCTTGTGCTTTCGGAAGCATCTGCGTTTACAAGTGGCTGATCTGATGATTAATGGGCGGATAAGCTGAGAAGTATAACCAGAGGGTTTCAGGAGGCTGGCTGGCATTTTTACCCGAAAGGGAGTAAAAGTGACTTTAAAAACAATGGACGTGTTAATGTGAATTTTAAGCTCACTGCAGCTAGACCAGCCTGTGGTGCAGTGACAGGCACGTTTACTGTGAGCTGTGTGGTAGTGATGGGTTGAAAGGGACCTTAAAGACCATCTGGTTCAGTGCTTTCCTTTGGGTCACGCTCTAACTGGGGAACTTGAGGGAGGTTTGGTGATATTTGACCTAGCTTATGGGTCTCATACAGTCCACTCTCTGCAGAGGGAGCTGCCAGGTTCCAATAAGACATGACAGAAGAAGCATATTTCATTTAAGTAGAAAGTAAAAGGGAGAAGTAGAAGGCTGGTCTTCCCCTGGGTGAGACTCCTCATGGGATGAGGTCATTTGTGTCTCTCTCCACTTCTCCAAGTATGCTGGAGACCTATTTGCTTCTCCCTCTGGCAGGCTCAGCCTTGCAGGTGGGCAGGCATGTCACTAGGGCTTTTGCTGTCTGCCCTGCTGTCTTGTGCCTTTCCAGATGTGACCTTTTAAAGCCGAAAATAAGTTAGCCACAGTCCAGGTGGCAGTGGGTAGGATCAGAGACTTTCAGTGTCCTCTCCTGATGGCTTTACTCTCTGCCTTCCCTACAGAACGGAGTCAGTTGCAGAGAAGATGCTGACAAATTGGTTCACATTTCTGCTGTACAAGTTTCTGAAGGTGAGTTTGCTGACCCTCTGTGGGGACAGAGGTGGGTTCCTACCTCACTGGGCCGGGCAGTGTGTCACGTAGGGCCTGGGCTGATGTGTTTCTTCAGTCTGCATTTCCCTCCTGGAGTGCTGATTGCTTCCCAGGCCTTGGTTTCTTTCCCACATTTCTGAGATGTGATTACTGATTCTGGCTTCCCTTTTGGGGAAATAGCTGAGATTGAGAAATGAAATACAGGCAGGGATTGCTTAATGCATTCTGGTTTTGAGATCTTCATAAAAACAATGCCTGGAGAAAGGATAAATCTGTAGGAACCCAAATGAGTCTTGAATCCCTTCCCAGTGATCCCCACTTCTCCCTCCTGTCACAGCTCAGGAGGACAAAGCCCCAGGAGCTGGTCTCACTTAGACACACTTGTGCTCAGAGGATATTTCTGCCAATTTTCTCTCATTTTCCTTCATCTGTCTTTTGAAACCAAGGCTTCTCACAGGGGGCTTGTTTCTCCCAGGCATCTCCACTTTTGCTGTTGCTTCCCCTCTAAAAGTTGCCCCGAGGTCCCACTGGGGACAGCAACTCCCCGTTGTGCATCTCACGTGTATACAGGGACAGATGCTGCTGAGCACCTTGCCCACATTGGCAAGCACTGTGTCCTGGTGGTGCTTTGGGCTGAGGCTAGTGATCCTGCTGTTGGTTTGTCAATCACCGAGGTTGTTTCTTGGGATCCTGCCTGGCTCAGTGAGGCTGGGTGGCATGCAGCCGTTTTTGTGGGATTTCATCCCTCATTAAGATAAAGGGAGTTTGAACCATTTCCAGCCAAGAGATGAGAGTGAGCAGGAGTCTGTGCAGAACTCAAGTGATCGTCAACGAGAGGTGATTTATAATATCACTTACGTGCACTTGGCTTTTTGCCTCTGTCGAGGGATAGCCTCTATCTATAAAAATCTAGCTGTAGCGTGTGGCAAAGATTGCTTTCCAGGGGTGGGAGAGGAGAAAAGCAGTGCCATTCACAGGGATATTGCAGACTTCCCCCACCTCCTCACACTGCTGCTTTGCTCTGTGATGCTTCCCTGCCTCTTGCAATGGCAGTGCTGTGTTAGGAAGGTGTGGGTAGGACCTTGCAGCCTCCTCCTAAAGAGGGGAGACAAAGGAGAGGGTCAGATCCCCCCCATTTTTTGGTGGTCAAATGGGGTTGCTATGGATGAGCTTGAAGTGAATGTGGTTATTCTGCAGTCCAAAGCAGAGCATGCATCCTTCCAACACCCAATGTGACATCTGGGGATGCTGCTGGTTTCACAAGCATGATCTGATGCCCTTGTCCTGTCCTTGGCTGGCTGGAGCCCTGTGGGTGTCACAGGGATGTGGTCACCTCCTTCAGAAGCCGCTTTGGATGGGTTCTTTTGCCACTGCTGGACACAGAGATGGGGTCAGGACAGTGCCTTTTTTTTGAAGCCCTTGGCTGAGCCATGGCACTGGCAGAAGAAATCACCTCTGGTTTCTTTGTGGTTGCATCAGGAGAAAGAAGTCTGCTCTAGGTGCACTATTACAAGAGGAATATGCACAGAGGGCTCAGGTAAACCCACCAGTTCACCCAAATCATCTCCTTGGGGAAGTGGTGGAAGTTTCAGTGCTTGAGTCAGTCAGAATGGACTGGAATAGGCTTAAGTGTGCCCCTACTATGCTACCTCTACTGAAGGAGACCCACGGGCCCTTTTCTGCCTGTCTCCCAGCGGTGAAGATCACAGGTGGCATCAAAAGCAGGGAGAACCCGTGGAGTAGATGGAGAGGTATCGCAGCAGACAGTTTGCCAGCAGGAAAACATATGCCTTGCACCAAACCGCAGTAATTGTGCATGTAAATGAGGCAGGAGGATGTGTGCCCAGCTGCCAGAGCTGCGCTCAGCAAACCTGCCTGGAGCAGGCTGGGCATTTGGCATGGCGCTGGGCTGGGACAGGGGATGCGGACAGGATCAGCAGGACAGCCTCCTGCTGCCCAGGGCTGAGGGTGGAGGCAGTGGTTTGGAACCCTTGTTGGGACCCTGCAGTAGCATTTATCAGATTCCTAATGAGACACCCCGGTAAAACGGAGAGGGATAATTCGAGACAAACAGTGAAAAATGCACGATATTAGGTGCCTGATGAGCTACATCTAGTTGATACAGCAGTTTGAGTGTTAGCTGGCTCACCTCAGCCTACACCCAACACGCTGGTGTGTGTGGATGTACCATTCACAGGAGCTTACTTGGCCTGCAGAGGTTATCCCCCAGCTCCTACTTGTTCTATCCTCCAGGCACAGCTGGGAGGTAGTGGTCACCCATCACCATGCGGACTGGCCTGTCCCCATCCCATGGGTCCCCTCCTGGCTCAGAAAGCCTGGATAGTGCTGGAGAAGTGACCTGCCCATCACCAGATCCTCTCCACCCTCCTGGGGAATCCATATGACCAAGACATAACCTATGGATCCCCAAAGAGGTTTATTCCTCATCAGCCAGGCTGGTGTATGAGCAGCAGAGGAGGTGATCCCTGGACTCAGCCATTTATTTTCCATCCACGCTGCATTCCTCAGACTGGAAGACTTGCATGTAGTTTTCATAAGCAATGAAAAGAAGCAATTTCTTGTCTTTCTTCCTTGGCTGGTGGGCTAGTTGTGAGTGCTGGGGGCTCATGGCTTTGGGGCAGCCCTGGGAGGTGGCTGTTAGCATGTGGCATAGCACCCACCTCGGGTCTCTCACTTCTCCGAGCTGACTTAATGAAGCCAAGTTTGCAAATGAAACATAATTTCAAAGACAGGCGTGTTGTCGGAAGGTCTGGGGATGATGTATGCCTGTTCCTGCTCGTTAGCAGCTGTCTCTTTAATTACCGCAGATGCTAACGAGATGCTAACAGCATATGGTGACAGGGAGAGCAGCCGCACTTTGCACCAAAGTACAATTTATTTGTGAGGCGGCCGGGAGGGAGGGGTGAGGGCTGGTGGGGTAAAATCTATTGAGATTTCTCCCAGTCCTCCTTGCTGCCATCCTGCCTTATTTTCCCATTCAGGAGTAATGTCTGTATCTGGAAGGGCATGCTGGGATGCAGTGCAGTGGAGCTGTTTGAGCTTTGCGTGGTAAAGGGGCGTCCACTTTCAGCTGCACTTCTCCAGCTCATGGCTTCAGGCTAGTTGGTCCGTTGCTGTGCCATGGCTCTGGCCTTGGCAGGTCCTGTATTGCTGCAGTTTTAACATCCAGCTTCGTTGGGTGAAGTATCTGGTTCCTCTCCCTTCCTCCCATCTGGGAGATGGACACTAATGGGGCTAGTAGCTAGTGCTGGCTCTGACTGTGGGGGTTTGACAATAGGGACATATGGGTGGCCTAGCAGCAGGGACAGCAGGAAATGCTCTCCCAGTCCATTTCATCAGGTTGGAGACTTCCAGCAAGTTTTTAAGGAGAATGAATTGCTACAGGATACAAATTGCCTCCATATGCCCCGCTTCCTTGCAGCCTTGGAGAAGGGTTGGAGGTAGTTTATAAAGTCACAGGTGGGGCTTGATGCTGCAGGGGCACAACAGGCTTCTGTCATTGTAGTTCTGAAAGGCAAGGTTGGTGCCTGACACCTTCTCACCCCTCTCTCTTCCTCCCCTCCATCCTCTGTTCCACAGGAATGTGCTGGGGAGCCACTCTTCATGCTGTACTGTGCCATCAAGCAGCAGATGGAGAAGGGACCCATTGATGCCATCACAGGAGAGGCTCGCTACTCCCTCAGTGAAGACAAGCTTATCCGGCAGCAGATTGACTACAAAATGCTGGTTAGTGCAAGTGGGAGCCTCACTCATACTAGTTCTTGCTATGGTCCCTAGGCCAGCTATTTAACAAGGTTTTGGAGACACCCATAGGGCTTTGCAGAGAGTGTTTCTTCTCTTACTACTCTTTCCAGTATCTGTGGGAATCAAAGTTAGAGCTTGGGGATTACCATGAAGGATGTAGAACTACTACTTCTCCCATGTGAGCTGTCTGTTTTGTCCCTGTGTGTTAAGTGGGTCCTTCCTCTGGCTGAGGCTGCAGCTGGTTCTTCACCACCTCCTCTCCACCTGTGTGGAGGTGGGAGTAAAATGTGCTTGGACAATGCTGAAGCTTTGCAATCTTTTTTGAATTTGGCATGGTTTGCTGGCCCAGGATTCCTTCACAGATATCACATTGCCTATCTGGAAACAGCTGGAATTTTGGGGTTGGGAAGAGGTGGGAAGAAAAAGGAAGCAAGAATATGCCACAAGGCTGTACCTTCAGGCCTGGGATTGAGCAGGTGTAACTGTAGACAGCTACAGCCCCATGCCTTTGGATCTGCCATCCTCACACTCAATTCTTTCTGCCCCTCTGCAGACCCTCAACTGTGTGAACCCTGAGAACGAGAATGCGCCAGAGATTCCTGTCAAGGTGCTGAACTGTGACACCATCACACAGGTGAAAGAGAAGCTGCTGGATGCTGTCTACAAAGGAGTGCCCTATTCCCAGCGTCCCAAAGCTGGAGACATGGACCTTGGTAAGAGAGGGGCCAAGCACTCCCCTTGAAACAGTCAAAGGCTGAAAGGCCAAAAAAACTTTCAAGGCACGCAAATGTGAATCTCCTTTAGGACAGAGGACCTGTCAGGACAGGGGTGTTTTGCTTGTACGGTCCACTTTGGCTAAGATTGCTGTGCTGGTGGCACTGCCTGTGCATGGGAACCTCTGGGGTGAGAATGTGAGTCCTGCCAGTGGAGAGGAGAGCTCTTCATGCTCTGGTTTGGTTTGGGTTTGGTTTGGGTTGCAGGCATGAGGCTGAGGGACAAGAAGGGCAGAAATTGTTGGGAATGGTGTTAATAGTGACGTTGTTAGAGGAGGAGCAGGAGGATGGAGAGGAGCGGAGTGAAATAAATGATTGCCAGGGCCAAACTGATGCTGCTTTTTGTTGAATACTTAAAAACAGCTTTTGCCCAACACCATGTTGACAGTCATCAGTCTGTAGGTTTGAAGGTGATGGCAGGGCTCTTTCGTTTATCCCAGACCTTGCTCCTCTGCTCTGCTTGGCTTTGTCCTCCAAGCTGCCTGCTAACCATGAGCCCTTCTCCCTCACTGGGACAGAGTGGCGGCAGGGCAGGATGGCCCGGATCATACTGCAGGATGAAGATGTCACCACAAAGATTGACAATGACTGGAAGAGGCTAAACACCCTGGCCCACTACCAGGTAATGCTGTCCATGGTGGAGAGCACTGAGCAGTCACTAGCTGCTGAGAGCTTGAATATCTCTTCTCCCTCCTTATCTTGGTCAGGGCCTGGGTTTGGCTCTCCAGACCTTGCTACTCATGTGGGGATGTGACCAGGGGTCTGTGGTCACTTCACTACAGTCTCTGTGTTTATGATCTTTCTGTTCAAGGAAGCACTAAAAGGAACATCTTCAGGACTCTTAGAGAGCACTCTGCTCTGAGATTGCTTTATCGTTTTTAGCTCCAAGCTTTTGATTCATTTCTATTGTGCTCTGTGGCCCTGAACTGTTGCAGAAATAGATGCAGTCCCCTGTCCCTGGGGCAGGGTGCAGTGTAGCTTCATCCCTCTAGGGCTGACTTCTTCCTGCTGTGGGATTGTTCTTTGCATATCCCACTGTCACAGCTTATGTGTGCCGTCTCTGCTTGCAGGTGACGGATGGCTCCTCAGTAGCCCTGGTACCCAAGCAGAACTCAGCGTACAACATCTCCAACTCCTCAACCTTCACCAAGTCCCTCAGCAGATATGGTGAGTGCACAGGGGGATCCAGACCTTGCTCTCTGCTTTGTTGGAGGGAAAGCAGCATCGAGCTGGATTTGCAGACTGAGGCACAGGGCCTGCTGGATCAAGGTCCTCTAAATGCTTGATTCTCCTGTACTGTGCTATACTGATGTCTGAGAGAGAGCTATACTGGTGTCACACAGAACTGTCTCTTTGCAACGTGTTGGAAAGGAGAGAATGGAAGAAAGACAAGTCAGATGGCTGCAACTAAAGGGTCTCCTTCCTTTTATTCCCCTGAAATCTAATTAAGGTAGTCACAGAGGCACTAAGCACTTAAATAAGCCTAGCTGAGGGCTCCATCAAACATGCTGGCAACTGTGCTTTGTAACACATGCTGAGGTCAGAGCAGAGGATGGGGATGGAGAGCTGGTAGAGAGGTGGAGGTCAGTAAGGTATGAGTTTCCCTCTGTTTGGTGCTTGCAGAGAGCATGCTGCGGACAGCCAGCAGCCCCGACAGCCTGCGCTCACGCACCCCCATGATCACCCCAGACCTGGAGAGTGGCACCAAGCTTTGGCACCTGGTAAAAAACCACGACCACATGGACCAGCGGGAGGGTGACCGGGGCAGCAAGATGGTCTCTGAGATCTACCTGACCCGCCTGCTAGCCACCAAGGTATGGCACAGGAACACACAGCTGCCACATGGCTTTTGTGATCTGGGTGGAGAGGGATAAGGAATTGGGTTGTCCAGAGGTGCTACTATTTTTTGTTAGACTGCTGCTTCAGTACTGGAACTATTTTACTGATCTTGGATCTGAGCTGGAGGTGATGTTTTTGTGTGTCACAGCCCTCAGTGAGTGTCCCTTGAGTGAACTTTCCTATTTGCTTTTTTCACCCTCTGGCACTTTTACTGTTCCCCGTATCACTGAGCAACTGCTGGACTGCAAAGCAGAGGTGCACTGGAGGAGGCACCTCATCCCCATTGATTTGGCTTTTGGGGTAAAGCTTCAAAATCAGTGATGTAGGATGGGTAATTACCTAGGGTGTGTGGCATACAGCACACATGTCACAGCAGGAATCCCCTTCCCTTGGCCTGCATAAAACAAAGTGTGTACTGTTTGTCTGGGATCTCTCTAGGGAGACCAGGGGCTGTACTGAAGATAATGGCTCAAAATAGCAGAGTTTGGGGTCAGCCATCTCCCTTGTGATGTGGCTCCCTGCAATGTAGTAATTAAGGTTTGTTCAGTGATATTTGTGATCAAGTCTTTGGTACCTTAATGGAACCCAAATAAAGACCACAATACAACATATATCCCCCCCCCCCCCAGTTTTTGCTCTTTATGGTGTTTTTATGCTTTTAACATGCTAAACAATGCAATGAAGGAAAAATCTGCTTGCTGTCATGTTGATTTAAACCACCAAAACGAGTCTGTTTACACAGACGGTGCTGTGCTTTTGTTGTAGGAATAGGAGTGAAATTAGTTTAAAGGCCCATCTTTGTGCTGCTGCTGGGCGCTGCTGAATGGCCCTTCTCTCCTTTTCCTCCTCAGGGCACTCTGCAGAAATTTGTGGATGATCTGTTTGAGACTATCTTCAGCACAGCACATCGTGGGAGCGCGCTGCCCCTCGCCATCAAATACATGTTTGATTTCCTGGATGAGCAAGCTGATAAGCACCAGATCAATGATTATGATGTCAGGCACACCTGGAAGAGTAACTGGTAATGGAGAGGGGCAGTGGAGCAGGGGCTAGCGATGTCGCAGCTAATGATACCTCCTACCCTTCCCACAGGGAGCAGAAATTTGCCTCAGGTTGTTCCTGAAAATGTTCCAGCACAAGAGAGGCCTATATCTCTGTGTTTTGGGTGTGGGTAAATCTTTCACATGCCTTCCTGCAGTAGAAAAAATCCCAGGAATGCAGTGCTCACGCTGCCCTTGAATCCCTGCTGCCACAGCACCATGTTTCCCCTTATGGCTGGAGCTGGCTGAGGACAAACACGATCCTGTTTCCATCTCACCTTGAGTGAGCACAGCACGGCCTTCTCTGTCCTCTGGGCTCGTTCAGAGGTGCCAGCCTGCATTCTCGTCTTAGCTGTCCTGGAGGTGTTTGCCACACTCCCTCCTGTCAGTCAGCTGAGTGTGCCCTAACAGAGTTAGTGTAAACTCATGTACGCATCCTCCGTAACCTCGCCTGCAGAGCCAACCCATCAGCTCTGCTAATCGCTCTCTGAAAAGTGGGGAGGAGCTGCTTATGAGACCTCAGTGAGCGCTGTGCTGGGGCCAGGGCTCGAGCACACGTCTGCTCCTTTTCTGCAGCCCCCCCTCTACATTCTGTGTTTCTGCTGCCTCGCTGATTTCATCTCTCTGATCTTGCCGTTGCTGGAGACGGGTACGTACGTTCCCGTGCCTGGCATTTGTTAAATGGCAGCCAAATTGCTTTTGTATAGTTCAGTAACTGTTGGCAATTAGCAGGGCAGGAAAAGAAACATTTTTAAATGGAGATGTGAGAGTGCGGAAGTGCTTGGAACTGATTTATAACTCTGCTTTCTATATTAAAAGAAGGAGTGAAACGCAAGGGAGGAAAAAAAGGCCCGCTCTGCAGGGGCTGGGCATGCAGGCTTCTGCATACTAATGCCTGTGCTTATCTCTGGGCGCTAATTCAACGTGTGGAGCTAATTTCTTGAGGCCATTCCCTTCACAAATGAAATATGTACATGCACCCGGTACCCTCATTAAGAAAGTCCTGGGGAATGAAGTGTGTTTTGTCTAAGATAAAAGCATTCGCTGGGTGTTGGTGCTGAGGAGTGACAGATCGGAGAGGCATTCTAATGGAGGGAGACCCTGAAAGGCTCCTGGGAGAGGAGAGGGGCAAGAGAGTGGGAAATGGAGCGATGGAGAGTGGCATGTGTGTAAGTATGCAGCAAACATCCAGTCCCGGTGCCTCCACCGCTGAGAAATGCGTCTCTGGCATCTGAGACTGCCTAAATCATTCTCTCATCTTAATTGTGCTAATGAGCCTCTGGAGGAATCCAGCAACCCCCTCCTGCAGCATGAGAGATGTGTGAAGTGTCTTAGGATTATTGATACGGGAGAAGGGAACCATGCCTGGTGACCCATGGGCTCAGCGAGGTCTATTCCGTGTGAGCAGACCCATGAAGAAACAGCAGCTTTTTGCTGCCCTGCTTTGTCTTTGGAGATGTTGACAGTGCTGAGGGATTTCTCCATGGAGAGCTGTGGCCATGTTGGGGTGGGCAGAAGACGTGGTATTGCACTGAGGCAAAGGCAAGTGGATGTTTCCTTAGGGCTTGTTTCATGTGCTGACTCCTGTTTCTTTCTTCCTTCAGTCTACCTCTGCGTTTTTGGGTGAATGTGATTAAGAACCCCCAGTTTGTGTTCGACATTCACAAGAACAGTATTACTGATGCCTGCCTATCCGTGGTGGCTCAGACATTCATGGACTCCTGCTCAACTTCTGAGCACAAATTAGGAAAAGACTCTCCCTCCAACAAACTACTGTATGCCAAGGACATCCCCAACTACAAGAGCTGGGTAGAAAGGTGAGTAGACTCGGCAGCATCTCCCTGCTTCCCTTGGAGGACTTACAGTGCACTTACATAGGTGTGGAGGTTTCACACTGAGGGTTTGGTTGTTGAGGACTCTCTGAAGAGGCACGTGCTAATGCTGGTGGGAGGCAATCCTCATCTGCGAGACGCTGCTTACTTGTGATTGTCTCCAAGAGTGAGTTTGCAATGCTGTTTGACAGAGCTGTTTTTGTCTTGCTTAAAGGATGCTAAAAGCAACCTCCACTTTTGGCTTGTCTGATGCTTTCTGTTGTAAAAACTTGGTCAGTGCTAAGAAATTGCTAACATCTCCCTTGATTGCTTTTGAAGAGCAGTAAGAAGTAAGCCATGGACTGGAGAAGTGCCTTTTTTGTAACATGACAATGCATGCAGGTTTTGCTGAAATGGTTGAAAATTGCCGTTTCCCGTCTCTCATCCCTCTGCACATCTTGCCTGGGATCGTGATGAGAGCTCATGCTCCAAGACAGTGCTTGGGCAAGGAACAGGTCCCTTGCTCCTTCTGACACCCTTCAGTCATGTTAGCTGATGTTAACTTCTGTCCCTCTGAATTAATGCTGTGTTAAGTATTCAGAGTTTGAATGTTACTGATTGCAAATTGATGCTGTTGGACATAAAGCTTTGTTTAGCTGTATCTTTCTGGGAGAGAAACGTGGGAGATGTCCTACAAAACCCTCCAAATAGAGTTACTGTTAGAATATTGCCGGTTGCACAATGGGATTTTAAAAAGTTTAAAAAATACCACATTTCTGAAGCAACCTTCCCCTTGTGCTGATAAGCTGTGCTAAAGATCATACTATGTATTTTGCTGAGGACCCTTTCCATTTTTGGTGTCTGGATTGGGTACTGAATGAGCCAGATATGAGACGTCCAGGCAATAAGTATTTTCTAGTTTGTAAGCATGAGACTTTGTAGCTTATGTTGTCCTTGGTTGTTTGCTAGTACTCAGTTACGTATTTATGTCACACCATTGGCATGCCTGGTGCTTTGCAGGCAGGTGCAAAGACAAGGTTCTTCCCTCGAGGAAGAGACAGCTTGGATCAGAAGAAAAGATGTCCCTGAAATATGCTGGCTAAGATGAGAGATGAGCTGTGTTGTAATAGGAGAGAGTTCTTTGCAGAGGGCTAGAGGGGATTTTGGAAAGGGGTCCCTTAGGAACATCACAAACTTTGCTGCCTTTAAGCGTAAGGTGAATTTCTCTGACCTTGCCATCTCTGTGACAAAAATACTCGGCATTGTATTATACTCAGCCTGCAGAGAAAAGGTATAAAACCATTCCAGAGAGAAACATTGGTCTAGATGTGCTTCATCCCCAGGGAGAAGTTGGGAGATGTAACCAATGACAGATGTTCCTGCCACCGCTTACTGCAGAGCAGGAGGGTGCTGGGCTGTGCTGCTTGCGAGCACAGGGTGCAGTCCCAGAGGCAGTCAGTGGGGTGTGTCTGCTGTCGGGTTTCGCTGCAAAATCTGGCATTTCTGGCTTTTGGCACAGTTATCACTGTCAAGCTTTGCAGAGGCAGGATTGGAGTAGTGCAGGAGGGGCTGAGTGGGACACATTCCCCCTAGCAGCTCTGTCTGCCACCTGGATTCAGGCATGCTCAAAAAAAAAAACAAAACCAACAACAAAGGGTTTCCTGCCAGTCTGAGGCAGAAATAGCATGTTAAAGGGCTTAGGGGATGGGAAGCTCTGGGAAGAGACTCCTGCCAGGGTCATGGCTGGAGTCTTGGTCCATGCAAGCCATGCATGCTTGTACTGACAAATACTGTTTCCTGTCATCCTTTGTGTCATGATAAAACCCAGAACTGCTTCATTTTACCTGGACATGTAAGAGTTGCCCAAGTATTTTATCACTAGCTGAGCGGGATGGAGTGGATCCTCAGCTTCATCTCCTCGAGTGGTCTTGCTGCCATCTGCTCCTTTCCAAATGCTCCAGCTGTGTCCTACCTCAGCGTTCAGCTGATGATGCTAATGATGCTAATCACTGTAGCAGAAACTTTACTGAGCTTTTTGAGGAGTCATGAGGAGTAAAGCAAAACTGAGAGGGAGTTGTGCTCTGTGTTTCCAGGTGCTGGGAGCAGGCAGGGCTCATTTGATGTGGATTGGGTTTCTTTCTGGATGGAGGCCCATGGACCTATCCAGTGTGGTTTCCTAAAAGACCTCAGTCTGTTGCTTGAATTTGCACCTGTGCAGCTAAGTCTGGGTCACAAAATGCCTCCTGGTTTTGTTGAAGCAAAATATTCTGATTTTGTACCATGATTCTGGATGGTACAAGCTGTGTCTGGCTTTTCTGTTATTTGCTGGGCATGTCAGTGGTGCAAACGTGGGGTGGGACACTGAAATTTAAGGTGTCTGAGGAGAAGAAAGGCAGTGTCTTACTGGTAGCAATCATAAGAGAATGCAGCTCTGCAGAGAAGAGCAGAAGTGTAACTGCAAGAGCTTGATGGAATGACTTAGGTTGGAAGGAGCCTTATCTAGTTCCAATGATGTGAAGTTACCTTGAGTGCCATCTTTGACTGTAGAAACATTCTGAACTTAGAACAGCAAACTCTTGTGTGTTGCATCATGGGTTCTGCCAGATGGGTTTCAGTGCAAAATGGGACAGGAAGGAGAATAAGTGTGTTATTTATGAGATTGGAATGTCCCTGATCCTGGCTCCCTGGCATCATGGGCTTGGCTGGGCTCAGCGAGTGCTCTATGTCTCTGCTGCTCCTCTGGCAGCATGTTGCTAATGATGCTCACCTTCTGTAAAGTGCTGGGAGACCTCTGGATGAGCAGCAGCATTACAGTGAGTGATGGTGGTGTGTCACCACTCTGAGAAAAGATGCTCCTCATACTGCTTCTCCTGAGGTTCTTGGTAAGCATTATGGGGTGGGCTCATCCCCTTCAATCCCTCAATATTTCTGACTGGCTCTTCCATTTCTCCTGCCTCTCCCTTGCAGATATTATGCAGATATTGCTAAAATGCCAGCAATTAGTGACCAGGACATGAGCGCCTACCTGGCAGAGCAGTCACGGTTACACCTCAGCCAGTTCAACAGCATGAGTGCGCTGCACGAGATCTACTCCTACATCACCAAGTATAAGGATGAGGTAAGATGCAGCAATGGGACCTCAAACCTGGGCTGCAGGCTGTCTCATAGCCCTCGGTTTTGTATTATCCCTATTTTATGAGATGGGGGTGGGTGGTGCACAGGGCCGAGATCAGTGGAGCAGAGATGGGCAATGTGTGGAGCCAGGAGCTGATGGACAGTCCTGTCCCTGCTCTGTGGCCCTTCCTAAGCTGATAAGCAGGGCTTAATTCCTGTGTTTTCTGCTGGGAACAATGTGGAAAACACCTATTTTTCTCTTACTCTACATACACTTGGCATGTAAGCATAGCAGAGCTTCGGAGTTGGCAGCACTATTGCAGTGTGCCTACTCTCTGTGCCATGCCCAGCCCAGAGCCGCAGTGGTACTGGCACCACACTTATACTGGTGTCATCCAGCTCTGCTGCACGGGGATATGAGAGGATGTGGTAGCCTCTTCAGCACTTTCTTTGGTAGTGTCAGTAAGAACGGTCAAAAACCCTTCTGTTGTAATTTATACAAATTAACTTCACGAAGCACTGCTCAAATCCGCACCCTGCATCTTTTTATTAAAGCAATAAAGTATGTAACTACAGTGAAACACAGATCTATACATATAGTACGGTAATATCGCTTTTATTCTCCCAATAAAGCAGACTGATGACTGCGTGGCTTATTTAGATGACAGAGTGTTGGAACTTTTTGCACAGGGAGGTTGGGCCCCATCACTGCAGTAACAGAGCTGGCCTTTGGGTCTAAGGACAGCAATGGGACTGTGGTGGCCAAAGTCCTTGTGTAGCTGAGTGCTTTCTAGGGAGGGAGGAGGCAGAGGCTGAGGAAAGTTTCCGTTCCCCTTGGTTGCCTGTCTTGCCTACAGGAATCAGAGGAAACCCTGGTGCTTAGGAAGGAGCCACATGATGGTCACCATAACAACACTGGTGGGATCCCTGTTCCATTCCCCAGCTGCAGTGGGATGACATGTCTGGGGGGTCTCTACTTCTATGTGATGGGCTGGCCATGGAGGGTCTTAGGATGTTTTTGCAGCTCTGTGGTTACCACAAGGGTGTCAGAGGAGCAGTTCAGAGGATCCAGATCAGTTAGCACCCCTCAGTGACCATCAGGAGCTCACTTCCTCCAGGGTAGAAGTCCCCAGCCCTTAAACAAAACTTGGATGAGAACAAGAAAGGGGCCTTGTGGCACTGATGAGCTGCTCTTGGTGGGCACTGGTTCTCGACTTGTCAGCTAGCTGACATCTGTTGAGTGTCTTGCTCTCCAAGCATTGCAAGTGTGTTCACAGCTCTCAGGAACTTCTTTTATTATTTGTAATGGAATTAATAAATCGCAGCTGTTCCCTTTGTTTGTTTTCATTCATTAAGCACAATTATATGCAGCTCGACTGCACCCTCTTTGATGCAAAATGGGAGAGAAAAATTTTTCCTGTTGTTCAGTGCAATAATAAGCTGTCATTGGCTGTGAATGAAGATCATAATTAATTTTCATGTGGATACTTGCATCTTGGTAATCATTGGTCCTGGCTCCTTACAGCAGGTGATAAACGTGTGTCTCAGCAACTGATTTCCTTTTCATAGAATCATAGAATCGTTTGAGTTGGAAGTTACCTGTAAAGATCATCTAGTCCAACTCTCTTTTATTTGGGGTTTATGTAAGGGTGGGATAAAAGAGGACTGGGTAAGTGCAGGGGCAGGTTGTGCATTTTCTAACACCTCAGCATTGCACAGTGCACAGCTGGCTCAGTGGGAGAGGCAGAAGTAGTGGGAATAGATTCTTACTCAGCTTCTCAGACCCACCTCCCCTTATTCCAGCTCAGCCACTGCTAAGACACACGGGGCTTTGGTTTCAGGTGGGAGCATGGTTGTAGGTATTTCGTTTTGCCCGCAGCAAGTAGCAGCATCCAGCTGCTCTGCACCTTGCAGCAGCGCTTTTACTTCCCCCAGGCACTGGTCATCCTTTCCAGCCCCAGTCCTATCCTAGAACACCTCTCAGGGAGCACAGCCTGCCCATGCCAATAGCTGCTGCATCTCCTCACAACTCTGCCAGCCTGCAGGCACTGCAGCAGTGCTTAATCAAAGGAAGCTGATTCCCTATTAAGAAGTTACCTGTAGGGCTCCTGATGGACTTTGCCTGCCTCCTAGTAAGTCTATTAATTATACAACAGTTTGTTTCCAATTATGCAGCCAATGAAATGGTTAATCAAGTCCCCTTTGACGGATGCCTTGATATTTAATTGCAAAAAAATTTGCTCTCTCAACTAGCTCACCCGAGGAGATGAGATTTCTGTCAGGTTTGGTTTTTTTTTTTTTTAAGTCTGCTTTTCTGCTCTATTGGCACAGTGTTAGTGAGATGAGACCTGTGCCTGTGGAGGGGGCAGGTGCCCCTCAGCATTATGCTTCATTACTCCCTTCAGTCTGCTCTGAACCCTTTCCACCAGCACCCCCCAGACCTGCAGGTATGGAAGTGTTCTTATGGGACGAGGGGACTGTCAAACATCACCCTGTGATCTTTCATTCCCACAGGAGGTTGGTTAGAGGAAGGGGGTTTTTATGGAGGAAAGCTGTCTTCTTGATAGGATGAGTAGTGATGGCCTTAAGTTGCTTCAGGGGAGGTTCAGGTTGGATGCCAGGGAAAATTTCTTCTCCGAAAGAGTGGTGATGTAGTGGCACAGGCTGCACAGGGAGTGGTGGAGTCACCATCCCTGGAGGTGTTCAAGAACTGTGGAGATGTGGCACTGAAGGATGTGGTCAGTGGGCATGGTGGGCTTAGGTTGACAGCTGGGCTAGAATGGTGACAGTAGGTTGATGGTTGGACTCTTAAAATGTTGTTAATGGGTTGACAGTTGAACTTATCTTAGTGGTCTTTTCCAGCTGTAGCGATTCTATGATTCTTGTGGTCCTGGTATGGCAAGCATGCCTCCTGCAAGGTATGGGACAAGCTGTTGGTCATCGGTGGATGACTGGGTGAATCTGTGGGTCTTTTCCAACCTTGGTGATTCTATGATTCTGTTCTATGGTTCTAAGGACCCAGTGTCCATCCCATATCCTAGGGTGGTTGTCAACCTTAGGAAGAGCTGAGCAGGATTTTGTTCCTAGTGGCAACCACAGCCTTGTGGGTTTGACACATTTTTTTGGCTTTTGGAACCGCTTCATAGCTTGATCGTGATCTCTGAAGAGCAACCAGTGCTTCTCTTGGGCTTGGTAGATTCTCTGGGGTCATGGATGTAATTTGAAGCAGTTACTGCCTTTTGGATTTGCCCTGCATTTGATGCTAGATATCCATTTTCTTCATTTCTACTCATTGGGTTGGCTTCTTGCTAGCTGCAGCTGCCATCTCCGGTGTTACCACAGCCCGTGGGGTGCTCTACCTGCTGGGTGACAGCTGGGGGCAGCGTCCTGCACCTCTCCCCTCCTCCATTAGACAGTGAGAACCAACCCATGATGCCTCTCACGGGACCCTGCGGCTGCGTGTCGGGATGTGCTGCAAGGGCCGATTCTCAGCCTCTCTTCTCCCCTCTCTCCCACAGATTTTAGCCGCGTTAGAGAAGGACGAGCAGGCCAGGAGGCAGCGGCTGAGGAGTAAGCTGGAGCAGGCAATTGACACAATGGCCTTAAGCAGCTGAAGAGGCGGCACGGTGCCAGCTTCCCGAGCAGCGACGCGGCGGGAGGAGGCAGGCAGGACACTTCGAGGCTGGGGCTGGACGTGCCCACGGGTGCCTCCGCACACTTCCCACAAATGAACAAGGAAAACCTCGCGTGCGAGCGGAAAACAAAATCCCGACGACAGCAGCAACATGGATAAACCCCTCTACGCACACCCCGATGCAACCGGGACACAGCAGAGACCTTGCAAAGGGGCCATGCGGGGTGGTGGAGGAGGGAGAGCCGTGTGCCCCATGGACCCGCTGGGACCCCCCGGGCCAGGCAGAGCCCCTGAGCCCACTGGGAAGGAGGGTCGGGACCGTGGGGCTTTTTAGGACGGCATTTGGATGTTGTTACTTTGGTGGAGGGAGGGGGGTGGGCTCCTGTTTGTACTGTACTTGACTTGCTCTCCCCTCCTTGCCCCCTGGCTGTCTGCCCCCCTCTCCTCCTCCCTCTGTTTCTTTTTCTGTCTCTTTCCCCCCCTTCTCTCTCTCTGGCCTTCTGCCACTAGTGTTAACTGCTATATTTGCACAATTTACACGAGACAAAATTTTTAATTTAAAGAAAAAAAATAAAAAGTATAACAAAGAATGGGAGGGGAAAAAAAAAAAAAGAGGATTCTAAATTTTGCAACTCATGAAAAACGGTTTTAAAAAATAAGCTAAAGGACTGATGCTGGGGAGATTTGGTGGTGGGGGCAGCAGGGGTGGGCAGGAAAGGGAGAAATCCCTGAGCTTTGATATTTCTGAAAATACGTCCTGTGCCATGTTTTATTTGAATGTTGTTTAGTGCAAAAAAAAAAAAAAAAAAAGGAAAAAAAAAGAAAAAAAAGATCAAAACAACAAAAAAAGTGGGAGTTTTGTTAGCTGAGTAGATGCTCTTATTTAAATGCTGCTTGAGTGGTTCTGGAGGCTGTGAGTTGGCTGAGGGAAGTCAGAGAGGAGGGTCGGTATTCCTTTCCCTGGGGGATGGCTGGGGGATGCGTTTAGGGTTCATCCTTGCAGAGGGGAGGATGGCAATGACAGGGGACCTGGAGAGCCAGCCTGGTACTTTGGCTTTTATCCATTGCCTTCTTGCTGGCCACCCACAGCACCAGTCAGTTGGTTTCAGGTTCGGCTCCTTGGAGGGAGAAGGCAGGGACAGGACTGACAATTATGACTGCATGGTTAAAAACTTTTCCTTTTGCTGTTTTACTTTTTTTAAGGGGGGGTGTGGGGAGGGACAGGATTCCTGCCATTTTATTGTGCTGACATAGGGATCCCAAGGTTGGATCATTACCTTTTCCCCCTTGCTTCGTGCTATGCTTGTGGCTGGAGCTGGGCACCAGCCCATGGAGGGACCGAACTGGGACTGTCCTCTGTTCCCCTGCCCCGGGCAGCCCAGGCTTGTGCAGGGATTCCCACTCCACATCTACCTTCCTCTCTCTCTCTTTTCCTTCTTTCTCCCCCTTTCTCTCCTTGCTGTCACCCCATCTCCCCTCCACTCCATCCACCCTTCCCATGGGTTGTGCCTGCTGGCATTTCATGGGGAGACCCCCTTCCAAACGTCAGATCTGCACGGTTTTCTACTTTCCTGAACAAAAAGAAAAAGGTGCCGAATGCTGCCTGGAGTTGCAGCAGGTGACCAAAACTTTCAAAAAACTGAGCAAATACATTTCCTTTTCTGTCCCAAGCTCCTGCTGCTCCCTGGGCTGAGCGGAGGGGATCGTGCTCTGCCAGAAGTGGTGACAGCAGAAGTCCAAGTGGACAGGAGCCCTCTGGTTTCTGCCCATTCCCATAAACTGCAAGTTAGGGGGGGGGGAGAGGGGAGAAATAATGAAGTTTTTAATTAAAAAAAAAAAATAAAAGTGTGTATATATATATATGTGGTTACAATCTAATTCTCGTGCCCCAGTGGGGTGCTGTATAGTTAACTGAAGGAGAATCAAACCGATATAAATATGAAATAAATTTACACAGCCAGTTAAAAAAAAAAAAAAAAAAAGGATACCAAATGGTCTGGAAGAAATTTCCAAGCATTTCTCACCATGCAGAACAATCGTTTCAAGCCTGCACATCTCTCATTATGTTGTGATTTTGTTTGGTTTGGTTTTGTTTTAATAAAGAGGGGAAGGAGAAGACGCTGATTGAAAAAAAGAAAATGAGAACAAAAAAACCAACCACCACAACAGAAGTGTTCTAAAAAGAAGTAATAATTGTTTCCCAAACCTGGGAACCCCAAGCTGATATCTGAGAGCTGTGGGCTGTTGCATGACTGTGCTAGATTTTAGTCTGAGTTGATCTTTTTAAGAAACAGAAAAAAAAACAAAAGCATAAAAAAACTGCAAGTGTTGAATCCTAGAGGTTTGTTTAAATCTTTTATCTATTTTATTTTATTTTTATTTGAAATTAATTTGTCACTTTCTTGTCCAGAAGAAAGAAAAAAAAATAAGACTTCAGTGGTTGACATTTCCAGTGTGGTACTCGGAGAGCCTTAAAGGACAGCTGTGTGCCAGGAGCCTCGGTGGGACAGAACCCTCGTGGGGGTCCCCAAATGGCACAGCTCATGGGGGCCAGCTTGGTGGGAGCTCCAGCAGTGCCACAGTTGGGTTTGATGCAGGTGTGGTGTGAGGTCAGCCCGAGGTTCTGGCATCTCTGTGGCAGCCCCTGCGATCCTCTGGTCCCACTGCTGCGGTAAGAGCGTCTGAGGAATCTTTGGTGGCTTTTGGTGGAGCTGAGCACGTGGTGTTTTGGTGATGGTTTGGAGATGGTGGTACTCTCGCTGTTGCTGGTTGGAGAGGATGGAGGCTTTTGTCTGAGCCTTCTCCTGAAATTTTCTGGAAGTATTGGCGAAAGCAGAGGCTCAGCAGGCTGCTGCAATGCTGCAGCACATCCTTGGCTATGCTGGGTAGCCATGTTGGATGGCTCTCATGGCCCTGGTGGTCCTGGGGTGGTCAGCAGGGAAGTCTCTGGAGGGCTGTGCTAGGCAGGGTAGTAGTGTCACAGCGTTGCTGGGCTCTCAGGGCTCCTCTTGGCTTCTTCTGCCTCCACTGCTAGGCTCTTCTCAACCTATCCTGCGTCCCCTATCCCATGCAATGAGGAGAGTCCACAGTGCGGTCCTGGGGATAGGCTGATGTCTTCCTCCTGAGGGGGCTTTGGGGCTTTGCTCCACCCAAGGATCCCTCTGGGGTCCCCTTGCTGCTGGTCCCAGGTGCCTCCATGGCAGATGGTTGCGTATGGGGGATGTGTTGCAGTGCAGCCTGCAGCCCCTGCTGCTCCTTGGTGCTACCTTTGCCTTTCGCCTGATGCCCAGTGTCCTTAATCCTGCAGGCAGCCTGTTACCCCTGCCTGGGGGAGAGGCTGGGAGGCATCACAGGATGTCCCATATCAGTGACGCTACACGTGCCCCCATCTTGCGTTTTGGGGATGGAGCATGGAGGAGGCCAAACCCCACCAGCTGCCTGCCCCTGCTGCCTTTTCAGTGCAAGGTTCCCAAAAACACAGCCTGGCTTGGATGCCCCAAGGCCCCTTATCCCCATCCTGTGCCTCAGGGTGGGGAGCAGGGAGTGACCTCCAGGCTCATCCTGCCCCAAAGCGCACAATGAGCTGTCCTTTAAGAAAGCGGGGGCGGGAACTAATGCAAAGCTGATGAAAGGCAGAGAGTTTTAATAGTTTTAAAAAATTAAATGGGGAGGAAAAAAAATAAATAAATGAGAATCCGGAGTCCTTGATTAACTTTCTGTGATGATTGTTTCAGACTTGAAGCAACAGGCCGGCGTGGCTGGCCGCACACCCTTTGATCGTGTAAATATCCTGCTATTTCCTATTTTAATGTTCTTCAGATTTAGTACTTGTAAATAAACACACGCATCAAGGAGAGATTAAACATTTTTGCTAATGCCGGTGTCTGGCCTGTGTTTGTGGGCAGTGGGGGAGGGAGGAGCGCAGCCCAAAATGGCACCGGGATGTGCGGCCTGGTGAGCTGTGATGTGGAGGCTTCTCTGCTGAATGGGCACCTTGTGGTGAATTCATTGGTTTTAACCCTTCTGTTTCACTCGTCAAAGGATGGGAGCGTGACCTGGAGACCCTGGTTACTTCCAGATGGTGGTGTAGGGTGGGCAGGATCCTAATGCAAAGTCCCCGTGGTGATTGTGTGTGGTGACATTGGGTGGGCATGGTGGGCATGGGGACGTTGGCAGGCAGGAGCAGGTTGGTGTGTGGGGTCCAAGCCGTGGCTCTGCCCAGCATTAGAATCAAAATCCCACTATCTAAACTGCATGTTTCCTGTTGACTTGGTGTCTTCCCCTCCTGGGACCAACCTCTGGAGTAATTTGGTTTGTTACAGATCACAGATGCATCTTTTGTCTGCATTTACCATGTATATAAACCGGATGTTTATATATATTATGTTTCTTTGCGGATTTCCTGCTCTCCAGCACTGAGACCATCAGCAACAAGAGCTGAACTTCCACAATGATTGGTATGATTTTTATCTCTTCATCTTCAAATTATAGAATTGTTAAGGCCACTAAGATCATCTAGTCCAACCAGTAACCCCTGCCTGTGACTGCTCTAGACCACGTCCCTTGCTGCATTATCTACCATTGGGCAGCCTGTGCCAGTGCCTGGTCACTCTGAGAAGAAATTTTTCCTAATATCCAACTTGAACCTCTATCTCTCCAGATTTTGTGTCGGTGCCACAGTCGGTGGGACCCTGGGAGCTCGTGGAAGCTGAGCACTGAGCAGTTGGATGCAGTGCTTTGTACAGGTTTAAGTATCATTTCCTGAACGTTTTCCCTCCAACTTGTAGCATGAACAATCTGAGGTCAAGTTTGGCAGCTCAATGAGCAATTTCTGTGGGGTTTGGTTCTTCGCTCTGATCCTTTTGCAGGCAGGATTTTCTTTATGCTTTTCTTTCTCCTTCTCAATATTTCTTCTATTGTTTCAGTTGGGGAAAAAAAAAATAATCTAAGAAAACTATTGGTTGGCAAAATAAATGAGTATCTAATATTTCACAATAGCCAGAATGTTCTTCAGTACCAATTGCTTCGTTTTGTCAAGGAACAAGAGTTTCTGGCTTGAAGCCAGCGTGCCCGAGTCTGACGACAGCTCCGAATGCCTTTGTTTACTGCCCGAGTTCTAGTGCCGAGCTAAGCAGAAAAAGATTACCAGGGTCCACAAATGATTGTGTAATCCACAAATGCACTTTATTTGATTAAATGATAAAATGGGAACCTCCCAGCAGTAACACACAGCCCTGCCACCGGAGACAGCGGTAATCTATCAAAGCTGTGGCGGCCGCCTACCTTCATCCACTGCATTTGAGAACCCCAAATTTGTGGCTGCCTCTGTGGGGACCCTGAGTCCTATGATGCCACTTGATGCTCCAGGTAAGTGGCACACCCTCAGCACCTGGTTGGGACCTTGAAACCCCACGTGTGATCTGAAGGTCTTGGCTGGAACTTTCCACACCAGTCCATTGTCGTGGCCTTGCACTTTCCTGTTGGACATCTTTGGAGTCTATGGGGAATCTCTCCTGCCTTTGGGTGTGTTCCCTCATTCATGTAACAGGGGTGGTGAGTGCCGGGATGTGCAAAGGGAAGTGCTGCTCCTGCAGAAAGCAGTATGCATCACTTCGGAGCGGGATGGGTACAGGACCCGTAGCCTGCAGCATGGGGACTTGGCCATCATAGGATTTGGTGAGGCTTTGATCATCCCAGTGTAGTGGAAGGTTCCCTGCCCATGGCAGGCAGTTTGGGACTAGATGATCTTTAAGGTTCCTTCCAACCCAAACTGACCTGTGATTCTGTAATCATGTGAGCAGGAGCAAGTGTCAGCCCCAAACAGAACTCCTCCTGCCCTGGGTGAGCTCAGCTCCTGGAACACAAGCAGGTTTGTCCAGGAGATTAATGCCTCCTTTACCTACCACCCACAAGACCAACGCTTCTGTTGTTTCCACTGATGTGCTCACATATATATATGCACATTAGAGATATATACATATATATATACAAGCTATATATCTAAAATCTATAACTATGCATATAATGCAGGATCAATTAAAACCCAGCTAGAGCATTAGCATGGGGTGTGGGTGGTAGGCCATGTGATGGGTTCAGACCTTACAGAGGAAAGATGAGAGCAGCACCATGTGCCCCTGCAAGGAGAAAGATGCAAACGGGGAGTTTCTTCCTGCTCGGAGGTGATGATTAAGTTTTTTTTCTGAGCTCCTGGGGGAAAAAAGAATAAAATCCATAAATTGTGAAGGCAGTGAGGGCCGAGCAGAGCAATACGCCCCTCCTCACTCCCTGGACTAATGAAAATAGCAGCCATGCTGGGAAGTGATTGGTTTATGTTTGTTCTTTGCTTTAAATGTAGTGGTAAAAAGCCCACAGTTTGGGGCTGAGATTGGAGGTGAGATCATTAGGAGCTGGCAGGCGATGGCTGATAGACATTAATGTGCCACGAGCAGCCTGAGCTTCACTAGTTTTATTTATTTATTTTTTTTATTTAACTAAGGCAAATTATTGCTTCAGGAAAATGACTGCTTCCCCTGGAGGGGGAGAATTGATTTTTCTTGAGTTTTCTAGCGCCAGACTGACAGCTCCAGAGATGCAAGAGAGCCAAGGAGGACAACAGGGTGACACGCTCCTGAGTACTTTTGGCTGCCTCTTTTTGGAGGCTGCCTGTGCTTGGGGGCTGTCCCTTTAGAGGGGCTGGAGATGTGACCAGAGATCTCGGCCATGACTGTCAAGAGCAATTTATGTATGAGATTAAGTCAGATGAGAAATGTGGCTGCTGATATCTCCCTTTTCCTCTGGCCCCAGCGGCTCAGGTGACCACCATGTGCCTGGCACGGGTTGCCAACACAGCACCCCAAAGCGCCAGGGGAGCCCCACTCCTCTGGGCTTTGAAGGTGATGGCTGTGTGACACTGTGACTTCACACATCCTATTTCTAGGCGTCTTTCCTAGCATTAATGCTGTTGCGATGGGCTTGGACTGGCCTTCCCCTCCCTCTGCTGGAAAGAAGCAGAACTGGCCGATGTCCTTTCCTGGGACCCGGCCCATCTCGCTGTCCCTCGAATACAGGAGGTGTCCATGGTGTCCACCGGCATGATGACTCCTGGTATGTGATGGAGGCTGGGGGTAATTGCTTGCTGCTCCTGAATCACAGGGATCACAAACACGCATTGCAAAAGGGACCATTAATTTACAGTCCCCCAAACCAGCCTGGTGAGGGAAACTGAAAGATGAGACCTTGCTTTTGGCCAAGGTCACGCAGCAGGTTGCATCAGGGAAGAAACTACCCATGCTAACATTGCATGGAACCAGACTTTTGTTCCGGCCCCAAGTGCCTGGACCACTTCGGCTCACAGCATCCCAAGCCGGCGTTTTGCTTCTTTCCCAGCCAGATTTTTTTTCTTTCTTTTTTTTTTTTTTCCATCTTTATGAACGAAATTCTCCCTTCACAGCCCCTATTCTCTCAGGGGTTCTTCCACTCAGCAGTAGCCCAATTTCCTTTTATAGCTTGTACAATGACTGTCCTAATTACAATTAAAACCAGGAACGCGCTAATCAAATCTTTTACTATTCTAGACAAACTCAGAAAATGAGTAAAATTAGTGACACATGGCCAAAAAAAAAAAAAGGAAAAGACAAGGCAAAAAGTGTGAGAGCTGGTGCTAATGCAGGGAGGGACTTAAAAAGAGCAGCAGGATTTCTGCGCTCATCTGCAGCCATTGGTGGTAGGAGTTGGGGTCGTGTGGTCCCGGGGGGCTCCTCCATCTCATTGCCCATGGGAGTTCCCATGGTAAGAGAGGTTTTTGATGGTGAAAACCTTGGACATTGAGAGTGAATCATCCCCTAAACCAAATGGGGTTAACGGCAGAGCGAGGACGGGTGAACATTGGGGTCACTGGGGCAGAAGGAAGGCAGCAAGCAGTGAGTAAATAACAAGCATGGGAGTGGGGCCGGCGTCTGCCACAGCTTGAGCATATGGCCAGAGGGTTATTTGCTTCGGTGGGAAATCACAGGGAAATTATTTTGTCTTTTCTGGGGGGCTGGGTGATTTTAGCACCCAACTCTGTCACGTTTCCCAGCTCTGAGTGAGGGGGGAAACCGGGGGTGCTGGGATGTGGAGGTCCCACGTGCTTGTGTTTGGGAAGAAGGATTCGTGGCTTTGTGGAATAATGCCCCTGGATCACAGGAAGGCTGCAGAGATGGAATGGAGGCAGGGCCAAAGAGTGAAGCCCTTTGTGCAGCTTGCTGCTCACTTCAAGTTATGGTCCCTTTCAGTATTTCAGTGTCTAAAGGGGGGCTGTAAGAAAGTAGGGGATAGGCTCTTCACAGGGTCTGTTGTAAAAAAGGGAAATGATTTCAAGCTAAAAGAGAGGAGATTTAGACTGGATGTAAGCAAGAAGTTTTTTACTGTAAGAGAAGTGAGGCACTGGTTGCCCAGAGAGGTGGTGGTGCCTGGAGAGAACCAAAGTCAGGCTGGATGGGCTCTGAGCACCTGATGGAGCTGTGGGTGTCCCTGTTCATTGCAGGGGGGTTGGACCAGATGGCATTTAAGAGTCCCTTCCAACTCAAATGGTTCTATGATCCCATTACAGATCCTGACCAAACAGCCTTATTCTGTAGGAATTGCTCCCAGTGTGATCTGTTCAGTCCCCACCTGGATGCTCCCACAATGCAGGTGGAACTCAGAGCTGAGTGTTGATTCACTTCGGTTTCACGTTAAAAATTAAAATGTGATTCACATTAAAAAAGAGCTGGCTGCTCTTCCCTCTCCTCTCCTCTACTCTCCATCTTTATTACTTTGTCAAAGTACTTCCAGGTATAATACTTATGTTTTATAGGCCTGAAGCACGAGATTATT